AGGATACTGTCTACTTCTTTCTCATTCTACGCGTGTAGGACACGCGGAATCAACTTGATTACTAAGGCTGTATTGAACAAAAATAAATAGAACCTAAGAATTGTTCATAAGACTATTGAAAATCTTGGAATTATGATTTAACTTAAAATTCTTCTTTATTTAACAATTAATATGTCATACCTGATTCTGACGAAGTGTGTATTTGTTATGTTCTATCATCATTTCTAATACAAGTGGTATTTGTGCACAAAATGCATCATGCATTTCTTTTTCACTTTCCTAATCAAGAACAAAAAAAAAAGAAGAAAAGTTTTATTTTCTTTGAGTATATTTTCAATTTTACATGTGGTAAAAGTTCAATAACTAAAAATTTATTTCGTTCATTTTCTACTTGTAAATCGATACTACTTGAATAAACTGCAGGTAATCCAATAAGGGCATCTATGATCAAACAATACTTTATAAAAATAATTCATTTTGACAAAGAAAAATAAACCGACCAATTAAACTAACAAAACCTTGTTTCCATGATCGTAAAGTTGCATTAAAACTAAAACAATTCGACAAAACACGATCTCGAGCAAATATTATTAACATATAAACAGCCCATGATAATTCCTAAAAATAAAATTCCAAAAAAAAAAAAGTATAAAAATTTCATATTAATTTTCAAAAGACGAACTTTATAAAGCACGTCATTAGCTGTTTGAATACCCGATTGAAGTAATTTACTTAATCTCCATCGATGACGTTGACCAGGAAAATGAATACTATCTACTTCAAATTCTCTATATTAAATAATTTATAATAATATTATTCATTATTATAAAAGAAAAACGATTTCTTCATTTACCCTGTTTGTTTAACTGCTTTCAATTGTTCTTCATTTAATCTTAATGATGATCCATCTGGATTAGTTGATACAATTTCAAGTTCACTTAATGTTGGAGTTTGAAATAATGATTGAAATTCAATCTAAAAATTTAACTCAATATTCGTCTAGTATAAATATTAACTTACTTTATTCGATTCACTAGTTATACCAGTAATTGATGGTGGTAATGATATTTCAAATGTTTTACATTGTTCTAAATTTTTTTCTGCTTTCTATCCAATAAAAACTAGTATATAATAAAAAACAAATAAGCAATCATTATCTTTCTAATACCTCACGAATATAATTTTGTATATCAGCAATATCTATTGAAACACCAGATGTTGGAGTATTAAAATGAATTGGTGTTGTCTATTTATCGTAAGAATAATTATTGTTACTAATAATAAAACAAAAAAATTCAAATTTTTACTTCATATTTTGGCATGTGAATTGATACATGTTCATTAGAATTTGCCATTAAAAACTTTTTTCTTATATTAACGACAAACTTGCATTATTCTCTAAAAGAGTCATAACAAGAAATAAACGAATGTGTGAAAGTGAGCATGCACACCTTCATTATTTAGCTATATATAGAATTTCGTTCTCGTCCTATATGTTTCATATGAATAAGAAGAAAAAAAAAAAATTTGCGTGAAAAATCTCAATTTTGAGAAGAAACTGACAACATTTGAAAGCTTTTTTCTTTGTTCTTGAAGGACTAAATAATGAGAAATAATAGTAACTACGCATATCATTACGTAGTGATTGAGTAATGACAAAAAAATAAAGAACGAATGAATAACCAAATTATTTTTCTTTACGTTAAATTTTCAACCTAGTTAAAGCCATCAGACAAATGCCTCGGTTGTCGTTCAAGTAGAAAGAGAATAAGTAGAATAAAACATTCTACAATACAATCTCACGACAATATGTCTCAGACTCGTCATCTAATTGTCATCATTTGGCTCTTCCTGATCATTTTCTTGAATGTGTAAATATATATGCAAACATAAACAATAAAAAAAAAAAAAAAGAAAAAAAAGTCATTTATCTTGATGTGTGTATGTAAAGCCGTCTTCAATCGGTGATGTGTAAAGTTGATGATGAAAAATGCGCGTGCTCTGCATATGCCATTTTTATTCTTTCTTTCTTTTTGCCTGTCTATATAGTGGCCGTGTCTAATCGACTGGTCGCTCTAGTCTACAATCGATAGACATATACAAAGTAGCACTCAGACGGGCAATGAAGATGGGAGAAAAACGAAGAAATATATGAGAGAAAAGAAGATGGGGAAATATCATGGGGATCTAATCAATGACTAGATTGCTCTCTCTTTCTTTCCTACATAGATGTGTGTATATTGTATATAGCACGAATCATTAGATATTAGTATTTGTCTTGTTTGATTGTATGAACAGCTGCCTGTAAAACATAAATGGTTGATATGATCATTATTTAGAGAAGAATCGATCATAAATTACCCATTTTTCATAAAACATGTATCAATTTAAGAAAATATTGTTTGATTTATTTATTTATTAAATATAAAAAGAACAGAAATTTCAAAATTAGAATATATATAGAAAAGTAAAATGAAACTCGTATAATAAAATTAATCAATATCTTAATGAGAAAGATAATATTACTAATCATTTCTTCAGCTGTTGCGTTTTTCTTTGATTTAAAAAAAAAAAGGATTTTTTTCTTGTATCTTAAGGCAACTTCATACATTTCACTTTAGTGATTATCCTATAACTCAAAAATGTTGAACATCTTCCAGATTAAATCAAAGATCTTGTCGGCAGACTAACAGATTTAAAACATGAGCTGCTTATGACATGTACACACTGAGATATTCGAATATTAAGGTATTTACAGTATATGTAATGTGCTAACAATTGAAAGTTTTAGCAGGATTTATTCTTCTCTTTTTATTATGCCTGAATAAAGCTCGTCGAGTTACATAAGAAAAAATATGTTTCACATAGAGAAAAAAGATCTGGATGAATGTAAGAATTTCGCGTCGATTTCAAAATAATACTATCATGGACATCTTTTCTTAAAATCTTTTTTTTTTTCTATAACATATTTTCTTTTATATAACTCGACAAATTCTATTCAACCATAATTAAAAGAGAAAAATAAATCCTGGTAAAAATTTTCAATTATTAGCATATTACATAGATTCTAAATACCTTAAATAATCGAATATCTCATCTGTGTACGCTATAAACAGCTCATATTTTGAAAATCTGTTAGTTTGCCAGTGGGACTGTTTTTGATTTGACCTCGAAGATGTTCAATATCCTTGAGTTACAATACATGACCTTCGATTGTTAATGAAATTCATTTGGAAAGAATCGGAAATATTTTTTTACCTAACAGCAAATTAACTACTTGACAAAAGCAAAAAAAAAATTTTAGATATTCAATTTCTATTGTATATATCAAAGCAAACATATTCATGAAGGCACTTCAATAAAAATAATAATTTTTTTTTTTTGAATAGAAAAGAAACAAATGAACTCTTTGATCAATATAATTTAAATAAATATTAACAAATAATTTACCTTCTATTTGAAATAGTGTACTTAATCAAAACATTTCTTCAACTTATCGATTCAATGCCTTTTATATTACGTATTCAGTAATCATACACAAAAGAAGCCAATTGAATGTCAGTCATCTGTAGAAAAAATCATGGTGAACAAATTTGGTGCCATCAACATTATAGGTCTCAAAGAAAAAAGGAAGCAACAGAACGAGAAAAAAAATGATTCCATCAAAGTTCGATACATCATGGACAAATAGTTGACTAAACAAATAAACTGTAACTCAAACACATAATTTAAATATATTAGTTTTTTTGCAACTCTTCAATTCAAATAAAAAAAATATCCAGTTATATTATGAATTGACAAATTAATAGATGTCGCTATTGTTTAGTACCATGGAATTCCTTATTGAGGCAAACGAGAAATACTTCTTAAAAAAACGGGAAAAAATATTATGTTATTTTAGTTATTCTTTCGTTAAATTCAAAAATAAAATGTCATCCTCATCAACTTCTTTTTCTTTATATTCAGTTAAACTCGCACGCAATTGTATACCATCATTACATTTATTTTCTACACCTCGACAACCGACAACGATCACACCTAATAAATGGCCAGTCGATCTTATAGAAGCAGTATGCATTGAAGCATTTGAACTTACGGCGTGTGCTGAACTCAAAGGACAACGAACAAATACAACGTAAGTATTTCTTTTTTACTGTTCATTTCTTCTTTCGAGATTTTGTTTTGATATTTTAGCAATAATGTGCCAAAATAATTATTCAAAAGACACAATCAACAACAGTCAAATTTTTGTATATTATACATAGATAAATGTAGAGAGTTTTCGTATTCGAAGAGTAATAAAAGAAAGTTTTCCTAAAAAACAATTTAATTGAGTTCTTGTCTGAAACAAAAACCAACCTGAATTTATATTTCAGAAGTCTATTCGAGTAAAGTGAACTTTAATTTTGCCTCAAACCACATATTATACAGTAAGAAAAGGAACGTAAAGACAAGTCGTTATTAAAACTGTGCAGAATAATCCTACCTACCTTTCATAGTAGCGTTGGGTTAGGTTGAAGTCAACATAGGAGAGAATAGTGTCACAGTTATAGAGCTGCGGCTCTCTCTAGAGCTAAATTCACAAAAGTATGGAATACTTGCTCTTCTACTTGCTTGAACTTATCTACATAAAGGCAACTAAACTACTCTATACAACTGAAGATTTTGGTATTAGTGTTGGTTTGACGATTTTCAATAACAAATTTTGTTCATCAATTAATTGTTCAATTTCTTTTGTTTTGTAATATAATGCTTTTTTTAACTAAACGAAAATTTTTAATTTATGAAGCACTAAGTGATGAGCAAGTGAAAAACATAAAATGTCTGTATATTGACTTTTTTCTGAGAGTAGCCAATAAGTAACTAAAACCTTGACCCTTCACTTGTTCATGTACACAAAAAGTGTCAGATATTTTAGTTGGGTATCCTGCTAAGAATTGTCTCAGTAAATAAGTACTTATCAAGTACTCATCAAGGTACCTGTCCAGTTTATATAACATTCTATGAAAAAGGTTCCTGCGACATATTGGTAGCAGAGTATCCTGAGCTCAGTACATTCACTAGGGTAACTGCTTCAATAAATTTTATATATTACTTGATGCATTATTAGTATTTTCCGTCACAGAAACAGTTACCGATATCATATTAAATATTATAAATGGTAAGAAGCAAAACGAACTTGCCGAATAAGTATATAAATGAGAATGACGTCGTTTTCAAGAGACTTCGGCAATACTTGACATGTATTGTTATTAAGGAAGCAATTGAAAGAAGAAAATGTTATTATATTTAACAGGATTTTGCAGAGGTATTCCCAATAAGTACTATTCATCATCGTCGAATTGTTTCTCAAAATTACTAAAGAAACATTTAGTATTGTACTAGTAAAAGTGGCAGTTCTCGAAGTTATCCCGAGCTGAGAAAGATGAATGCACACTAAAACTTTCAAAATCGTACCGTTGTTGTTAATAGACTATATATAAATATATAACTTAGAAAGAACAAAGCGAAGAGAGAAAACAAACGATAATAACAAGTACAAAGAGACAGCTTACGGCCATACCACGTTGAATACACCAGTTCTCGTCCGATCACTGAAGTTAAGCAACGTCGGGCTCGGTTAGTACTTGGATGGGTGACCGCCTGGGAATACCGAGTGTCGTAAGTTTTTTGTTTTATTTTTTAGCCGTCATGATTGAGTAGTTACGTTGTTCGACACGTATCCACAAGGTACTGTGTTCAAACCTCAGTATCACTATCCATGAAATGATCCTGGACAAGTCACTAACGGCTAAGTTGTCTCGAATGACTTATTCGTAGCGTGCTGAATACATCGTTAGTCAGTACGTTGGACGGGAGGGGTGCAGATACCACTGTCTGTAAAAAGAAAAAGATGAGAGAAACCGGCAGCATGTGGATCCTAATAATAATCGCAGCTGGCCCCTACGGACGATAAGTCTATGGGAGATTATTATTAAAGAGATAGAGAAAGTGTATTGTGGCTATATTCATGTTATATCACTGTTAACAAGTAATATTTGATTAATTAATAATATTCAGTAATAAATTATCAAAGCAGAAAATAAATAGATCGATCATCTGTATTTTTCTGTTTGATTGATGTTTCGTTCGTTATACTTCTTTATGAACGGTAGATAAATTTAAAAAAATGGAATGTTTATAAAAATACATCAGCCGATCATTTTCTTTTCTTATGAATTTATATTGTTGAAATAGTCTGTAGAGCACATAGAGAACATGAAGGTCGTGACGTGCACAAATACGTCAGTCAATAAAGATCAATAGAAACTTGTCGATTATTCTTTTTTGTGCAAGACAAGGTTGCATTTTTACGAGAGAGGAATACATATACAGTTTCATAAAATATTCAAAATAAACCTACAATCGATCAAAGAAATTTAATAAACCAGACATCAACTCTGAAAATTCCTCGCCAAACTTTTTTTTGATAATTGCAACAATAGAAAAATTAATAAACATTTGGGCAGGCATCAACAAGGACAAGTTATTTTAAACATTATTGAAGTCGATTAAGCATTTTGACTTTTTTTCTGTGATCTCAAGTACTTAAATCGAAATAGTGATTTGAATAGTCAATAAAGTTCTTTATTAGATGTACCATATATATATCAATGTTGTATAGTTGGACTATGCAGGAAAGTTTTCTAGAAATTAGAACACGGTCATTTTTAAGTCAAAGAAGACGTTGTAAGAGTCCGACTTTAATAACACTATCAATTCAGCATATTATGAGAGATCGTCAAGTCTTTTACAACCTTCTCTTATGAAGTTACAAGTACCATAAAATACGAAAAAGAGCAAAATTTATCAAAAGCCGCTATCAAGTACACTCTTTAAATTTGTTTTTGGATGTTTTTAACTTTTTAGAGAAGATCGTAAAAAAAGTGGGGATCCATCATAGTACTCTGAATTGATGATATTATTAAAAGCGAACGCTCAAAACATCTTCTTGAACTTGAAAACTACCGTGTTCAGTTTTTTAGAAAACTTTCCCATAAAATCGAACTATGAAACCTTGATATATAGTGCATCGGATAGAGAACTTTATCGGCTACTGAAATCATCATTTAGATTTGAGTTAGACGCTCAATATTCACAGAAAAAACTTCTTCTTATAGTTTTGAGCAGTACTACATTATTGACTATCAAATTAAACAGACCATTATCTTTTGTACGATATCTCATAGTTATTCATATGCTTTTAACTGATCTGAAAATAACTTGTGCTGAAATACAGTTTATATAAACTATAATAGAAATATTTCTTGAGACAGAGCAAATGGACAACAACAATGGCAATTAAAAAAAACAGAGAAACCAAATAGAGCAGAACGCTATTACAGATAAATAGATATATATTTATACATTTATAAAAAAAAAGAAAAAGAAAAAAAAAACTAAAATTCATATGTTTTATTGGTTTATATTTATGTTAATGAATTTGATAATGACGATGATGTTGATATTGATAGTTGAGATTGTGATCGAATTGAATTAGTTGTTAATAGTGATATAGGAAGATTTTTCATATTGAAAAATAATAAACGTTTAGCACGATTTTGTGTTTCACTTAATGTAACTAATGTCCATGTACTTCGATCAATTATAATAGACCATGGTCGTTCAACATGTAAAATTTTATTTGCTTTTAAATATTCATCTCGTCTTATTTGCCATATACATGATGCATTATAATCAGCAATAATCCAACCACCAAAATGATCTGTGCTTACTTTAAAACCAGTGACTTCAATTTGTTTTAATAAATTTAATTGATAATCAAATATAAGTAAAGCTACATCACATAAAACAGCTACATGTTCAGTAATATCATCAGCTTCAATATCCCATATTGTTGATGATTCAAGAATATGTTTACCTATAGAATGTAATTTATAATCATAACGTTCAAGTAAAAATTGTGGACGATCTTTGTTATATGATGTACCATTATGAGATGAATTTGATGAAGATGTTAAAGACGATGGTGTAATTTTATATGTATGAAAAATAGATGATTGACATGATGTTATACGTTTAGGCCAATCACCATTTATATCAATTGATTGAAGAATTTTACTGAATGAATTATTGGAAATAATCTATAGAAAAAAAAAACATTTTTTCATTTAGATATTTCATACAATTTAAAATATTAAATAAACTTACAATTTGTGTTTGCGTAGCAACAATCCATGTATTTGTTGTTTTTGACCATGATATATCAATAATACCATCGTATGGCCAAGGAAAACATAAAAGTGAAACATCTGGTTTAAACATAATAAATTGTTTATTAAGTTGATGATAAAGACATAAATGATGATTGCCATTTATTTCAAGAAAACGCCAAAATTCATTACCTAAATTGATTGTACGTGCATAAGCAAATTCAAGTTGTTCAAATAATGATATATATTCAGTTTTTGATATTTGTTCATAAAGATCAATCGTTTTTGTATTTGCATTTTGTTGTTTATTTCCACGAGAATTATTATTATCTAAGACATCGAATAACAAAAAAAAAAAAGAAATAATAATCATAATAATAAATTTTAAATAAAATTATTTTCACCTGAATCAGTAATTGCAATAGGTGTAACACCAGGTGTAGCAGCTGTTGGTCTCCAACCATTTTCTAATAAATTAGTCCAATGATCTTGTCCAATATCAAGCCATGTTTCATTTAAAGCATTACGTGTAGAATCTTTAGCAGATTCGTTATTTTGTCTTAATTGTAATTGTTTATCTTTTGTATCTTCACTTGAACGACGAAATGATAAACGATGATTACGATGTTTATGTGATTCAGATCGATGATGTGTTTGTTGTTTAATTTTTGATGTTGGTGGACATCCATATATTTGATTATCAACAGCTTGTATTTGATTAGCATCAAGTGTTCTTGAACGATGTCGTCGATCACGTGTATTAATAACATCATTATTTATATGAACACTATTTGCTGCTTTATCATATAATTCAAGTACATCAGAATTTGTTATAGTTGCTACTCGTTCAATTGGAATACTAACAGGTTCACGTGCAAGTAATGTATGACGTGTTTCACAATTTTTTCTTGATGGTGTTGAATTTGTCGTTACAGATGATTTAATTGTTAATGGGGTTGATGGAATTGAATGAGTACTATTTGATATTGAACGATTAGGATTATTTAGAGATTTTTGTTGAATACCAGAACGATTATCAGATTTTGTTTCAGTATTTTCAATAGCATTTGTTGATGTTGGTGATATTGTTTCAACAGATTGCTAAATGATGATTAAAAGAAAATTAAGATTTAAAATTCAAAATGTTAAATTTTGCTTTTTTTACTCAAACCTGTTGTGATCGTTCATCATATTTTGTTCGTAAATTTTTTCTTATTTCACGTAAACGTTGAAAACGTCTTATAGAATCATCAAATGATTCAAATGCAAACAATTTATTATTATTATTTCCATCATTTGTATTATTTTGATCATTAACACTTGGTGAAATATTTTGTTGTTGTTGTTGTTGTTGTTGTTGTATTGAAACATTTGTTATTGTACGTGTATTACGTCGTTGTGTACCTACAGTTTGTGAACCTTGTTTTGGCTCAAGTGTTTTACTTGTTTTAGCTGTCGTCTGTTTTGATTTCGCATCATATGAATATTCTGCATGATCAATTGATGGTAAAGGTGATAACTAAAAATAAATGATGAAGAAATCAAAACTGAACGGTAATTATCAACAACTCTACTAATAAATAGTTATTCATTCATTCATTCATTCATTCATTGGGCTACTACGCCCTTTTGAATTAATATCATTTTGATTTTAATCAATATGGACATTTATAATCTATAGAATTATATAATCATCTTTAATATTGATACGATCGCAATTGATCGTTCTATCGAAAATAGCCTTTTGAATGTACAAAGGTCGATATATAAACGAAACTGATATGATAACATTCTCCCATCACCAAATCATTCATTCGTATATTACAAACTGACCTTGGCTTTCGAGACTAAATTTGGTTGATGTGCATCAAATTTCTTCTTCTTCTTCTTTTTTGTTAATAATACTTTAGGTTTTGGTAGTATGAAACCATACTTAATCTACATAAATTTTGATGAACATATTTAAATACTCAAGAAAAGAAATATATCAAAGAAGACAAAGAAAAGAAAAAAAAAGAAAAGAAAAGAAATGAAATGAAATGACCTTAATCAAATATTCATATAATGATAAAATATAATTCAAATACTTTGTTATGTTTATCGAAAAATTTTCATTGACAATAATATTATTCCAAAAATTATGTACCTTCATACAAACTATATAATTTAAAAAGCAAGGTCTTTAACCAATGAAGGAGAAACCCCAATTACCCAAACAAATCATATCATTATATAATAATAACAGTAAGAGGTGCATATATATATATATATATATATACAATACTTTAAGTGAAGGGCTTACCATCATGCGCTATTCGTTATAAATAAAAGAAAAAAAAAAGAAGGAAAAAATTTGCAAATATACATGTTAAATAAATAGACATTATATTCATCATCTTTAAAGACAAGTGCACTTGTCTCATCACATCAAAAAATTCTCATAACAAAAAAATTTAAACTATATATGTAAAATAAATTGACTTGGTTATTTTTTACTCTCTCTCTATCACTCAAGTATTTGTAACGAAATTTATTCTGATTATTTAAAATCTTATGTAATGAAACAAAAAAAAAAAAAGGAGGAAAAATTTCGTTTATTTATTTATCTTTTCTTCAATTTCTTACCTCATCGGCTGATAATGATGATGATGAACGTTGTGGACTTGTACATATTTCGAGTACACGTTTTAATTCTGAACCAAGATCATTATTTTCATAATTTTTATGTACTGGAGTTTTTAATGATGAATTTTCACTACAGCGTGATGTACTTGCTAATTTAGCTGGTATAACATCATCAGGTAATAATTCATTCATATCATCATCAATAGTATTACCAGCTAAAATTAATTTTGATTGTTCTAATTCTTTTCGAATTGATCGTAAATTTGTCGATATACGATCAATTTCACTTTTATTATGATAATCTAATGGTTCACTTTGCCAACGTCGTTGTTGATTGGCTTTTTTTCGTTCAATTTTTTCAACAAATAATTGTGTATCAAATTCAAGTCGTTCAAATTTATCTAATAAAGTTTTTTCAAGTTCACGTTGTCGATCAAGAAGACGTTTAATAGCTGCTTCTCGCCAATGTTTTAATTTTTTAAGTGCTCGTGTACGAAGTGTTGGTAAATCATTGAGCATTGAACGAAGCTTGTGAACAAGCTCCTCATTAGCATATTGTTGTCGAATAGTCATAATTATAATAATCTTCTTCGTTAAGTATGATAGATATAAATACCTGTTCTTATGATTTCTATCTATCGGTTATTGTCCCATTTTAAAAATAGGAGAAAACGAAAGAAATGATGAAGAAGAAGAAAGTAAAAGATGATGCGATTGCTCTCGGCTAGATAATGACTAGAAAAAAAAAATACATATTATCAACGTAAGATGTGTAAACAATGTTCAACGAATATGTACATTATATGAACGAGTCAAATGAACATCACTAACCTACACTTAAAAGTTTGTTATTTCACGTACTTTCTTAGTACGCAAAAAGAAGAAAGAAGAATTCATGATTTTGTCCAGATCAATACTTACCAATAATAACTAAGCGGAACAATGCTATCACCAACAAAAAACTACGTCAATAATGAAATACGATCTGAATTGATGAGGGTGCTCGCCGCCAGCTAAACAAAACTAATCAGCCTTTCTGTCTGTCTGCATTATTTTATTTTTTTGAAAGTGGGAGACAGAGAGAGAGAGAGTAAGAAAACAAACTTTGTCTTCTCTATTCTTCCTCTTCTTTACGTGTCTCTCTCTCTCTCTCTCTCTCTTTTTCTCTATGAAGTGTGTATAAAGTGTTATGTATGGTGCATATAGTCGTCGAGGAAGAACAACAACAAATACACCAACATCATCATCACCAGTGGCCGTCATTTTGTTCTTCTTCATTTTTCTTCTCTGTTTGCTGACTTAGAGCAAGCACACTTGCCAAAAGAGAAATATATATGTGTATACATGTAGGTGTAAAAAAATATAGGAGTTCTTTTCTTCGATCGACTCGAATAAAGAAACTATCCAGGGACCTCTTCTTTCTTTCTCTTATGAATCAGATAAGACATACATATACAAACATACATGAAAAAAAAAAGGTAAAATTCGTGTATGTGTTTATAACCTTTAGTGGTGCCCGAAAGTGTAAATTAGCATGACGAACGGTTTTTAATGTATAGCTCTATTATTTCTTTTTTCTTTTTTTATTTATTTTTGTAAGTTGAATATATTTAAAAATATAAAGAATAAAGAAGGATGAAGTTTATATAGAAGTACAACTAAAAGCATAAGCACTTGTTTTTTTGAAAACAAGAACAACCTCATTCATTCATTCAACCATTCTTATACTTACCTTTTCTCTCATTGTTGTCAAATTCAAAAATTGAGAATAGTTAAAGAGTGATTTAACTTCAAGGCAAAACAACAACTTATAAATGCAAAGAAGAAACTGAGCCGACAAATATTGAAAAGTATCATTGGCGCAAAAAAAAAACTGCTCGATATGCAAGAAGAGTTCACTTACCGCAATGACAAAAGAGAAGAGCAAAGAAAATCAAATTTGCTTATAATCAAATGAATAGAATTTTGTGGCTTAAAATAAAAACATACAACTTGAAAACCTTCAAATGAAAAAATGAGAGACACTATTGGTTTCGTTCTTTCTTTCATTGAATAAAAAAAAACTGAAGAAAACAATATACAAATGATGTCGCTCTATAGAAGACTTGAGGATAATTTATTTCACTTCGTCATCAGTCAATTCTTTTTTTTTTCTTCTCTCTTTTTGCCTATTCTTTCTTTCTACATTTCTCTTTAGTGGTATAGACGTTGGTTTGCGGCTTCTGCACATTCGGTGTTGGGATTGTAAAAAACACAATGTGTTTTATTTTATTCTTACATTTCGTCGTCCGACAGCTTGGAGAGAAAAGAGCATAATAAAAATTTGTATCTCAACACCACACAAATACTCGCTCGGCAACATGCTTCTTTAAAAAGAAAAAAAAAAGAAAAAGAAGAAGAAAAAAAGTAGCAGTTGGCACACACACACACACACACACATGCATATATATGTAAGAGAGTACCTACACACAAAGAGTAATTGTATTCCATATATCCTGAACTGTATATAATTAGGTATTGAAGAGAAAAAAAAGAAATATTGAAGAAAGAGATGAAGCCTCCTTTTTTGTCAATTTTCGGTCAAAAGTTCGACTGAATTTGTTGTGAATCACTACTTTTGATTGCATCATATCATTGTACTTAATCATTGAACCTTTTCTTTATATTTAAATAGGCAATAAAATGAGCATAAAGAAAAGAATAATGTTGGTACCATGTTCATGCACACAGATCGAGTGTCAACGACAACGACGAGGACAATGTCAAGTTCTCGCATCTAATTGAAATTTGATGCTTACATACCTTTACCAGGGAGAGAACGAGAATATGTATAACAAATGAAATATAGTCAATGTTTGCATATTCATAACCTCGAATTTCGCGGTCAGACAACCATATAGACATGTTCAAATATTCGAATTCTTTTGTTAAATTATCCCTATAATTCATGGTCACATGTTATGCTTTAGAACAAACTAAGAATAAAATAGGATAATTGGCTTTTATCGATGTAATATGCATTGTACATAAAAAAATCAATAGTTTAAATGAAGTATGTTTTTATTTTTTTAAGAACATGCAAGAGAAAAGAAAAGATATAGATTAGACATGTTAAATGCAAAGGAACAAACATGATTATATAGTTTTATTAGAAAAAAAAAACTACAACAAACGAATACTATCCATAGAATGTGGATTTCAATAACAGAAACAAAAAGAGTAAAAAACACTTAACGATAAACCATCCAAATGAAATAAAAGACAAATACGAATACACATGAGAATGATAAATATCTGAGAATAAATAAAGATAGGAAAAAAATACTCGCCTTCATTTCTTTGTTTATAATTGGTTGTCATCTGTATTATTTCGTTGTAATTGATCCTTGAGTATAATGTCTTCATTATTTCCTGTTAATGATTGACCTTCACGTTCTGTACCATTAGTTATTGTACTTTGAGGTTTTCCATTTCGAGTACTAATTAGACAAATATATAAATGAAAGAAAAAAGTAAAAATTATTTTGATTTATTTACCTAATCACAGCCATTCGTTCAGCCTCAGCAACTGTTTGTGGTAATGGTTTATTTAATGTTTCAGGAAACATTAAAGCTAATACAGCAGCTATAAGTGAAACAATACCATAAAGAAATACGGGTAGAAGTATCCAAATACGAGCCTATTGTAAAAAAACATAAATAAATAAATTTTAATCAATAAATATTGTAAACTTACTAAAGCATCATTACAATATGTTCCAATAATTGCTCCAATACGTGCAACCATTGAACAAATACCCATTCCTGTATTTCGTAAATTTGTTGGAAAAAGTTCATTTGCATATATATATATAATAGCATAAGATGCTGATGCAAAAAATTTTAATGAAATATTTATTATATTTAATGACACTTTTTTTTCTGAAAAAAAATATATTCTTGTTTTTTTTTTATTTCAATAAAAAACGAACCATAACTGTCCTCGGGCATGAATTTTTGTATTGGTAAAACCAATAAAGCAACTACACCAAAAAGTATAGCAAATAAACAATAAGGTAATTTACGACCAATACGATCAAGTATTAAATGTACAACAATATATGCAGCTAATTCAACTAATGCACTAATAGTAAATGATAAATATGGATTTAAGTCCCATGAACCTAAAAAATTTTAATTATTAAATTTTTATTACATTTTAAATATTTAAATCTCAACCTGTATTTTGTGAAATACCGTAGAATACTAAATTTTGTACAAGCCTAAACAAAAAAAAATAAATAAATAAAGTATAAACAAAAAAACGTGTTGGTTTTTTTTCTTTGTGTTTGATCAATACCATTGAAAAAATAGATTCATACTAATAATAAACATAATTTTTGATCGAAATAAACCCATGAAACCTTCTTGATTATGTTTGTTTAGCATACTCTAAAAACAAAAACAGATCATTAACAAAAAATGAATTTTTTTAAGTATAAAATAAAGATTAAACTAACTATTTTTTGTTCTTCTTTAACTTGTTCATAGGCAACTTCATCAAAATTTCGATTATTTTCAGTTGCAATACCACGTAATATTTTTTCAGCTTCGTCATAACGTCCTTGACTAATGAGCCAACGAGGGCTTTCTGGTAAAATACTAAATGAAATTTTATTTTATTCTTTTCTTTTTTTAAAATTTTCTCAAAAGAAATTTTAACTTACAAGTAGAAGAATATAAATGGCACTGTAAATAATGATATAGCTCCTGTTAATGCTCTCCATGTACGAATATAATATGCAAACAGTACAAGAAATAATTGTCCAAATGCAAAAAAATATTCAATTACAATTCCAGTTAATAAACGTTTACTTGGTCCAACTAAAACAAATTTTTAATTTGAATAAAAGACCCAATCAAATAAGATGACCATCCTTCATTTGAAAAGCTATCTATATGGTTTTGTCGAGCAACTCGTGCTGCATCAAATGATGTATAGAAAGTTACATTTTCACCCAGTTTCAACGATTTGAGAAGCCATATATCAGTTAAGAGAATCCAAAAAGCATAGCATTTTCTCAAGCTTCTGTAGTTTTTGGCTTTTATAATGTTTTAAATTCTTCAATAGTATTCCTTAGAATAAAGGCAATCAACTATGAAACTTTCTCAGATATTATGTGTCACTAAACTCTATAAGTATACCAAGTGATTGCTTTCTAAATCGAAGTGTATCATAGCCAAATTGACTAATCAACACCTAAAAAAGGCCAATTTCTCGATTCATATGGACAGAAAAGTATGTCACTTTTGCAATAAATACTTTTTGAGTGAAAAAGTTTCTATCTATTAATAATAAGCTCATCATACTCTATTATTTGACATATATAGATATTTCGAAAATGGTAAAAAAATTTTTTTCGCTTTCAGATCCCTGTAGAGCAGTACAGGAATAAACTATTACAAAGATTAGGTTTTATTTTATTTTATTTTATTTACGAATTTAGATTCTAAGTAACCGAGTGTGATTAGAATATAAAGCTCTATCAGATTTAATACATACTTGGTCTCTAATGAGAATTAAAAATTTTGTATATCTCTGTACCTCTCCTTTCTAGAAATCCGAAAGTGAGAGATTTTTTGCCATTTTCGAACCATCCAAATATGCCAAATGATAAGGGATGATGAGCTTATTATTAATAGGTAGAAACTTTTTCACTCAAAAAGTATTTATTGTAAAACTGATATACTTTTCGGTCCATATGAATCGAAAAGTTAGTCTTTGTTAGGCATTGATTAGCTGATTTGACTATGATGCATTTCGATTCAGAGGACAATCGATTGATATATTTATCGAGCTCGGTGACACATAATTTCTAAGAAAGTTGCACAGTTGGCTGCCGCTGTCTTGAGAAGCAGTATCGAGGAATGTAAAACATTATCAAAGCCAAAAATTTCAGAAGCTAGAAAAAATACTAAGATTTTGGGCACTAAGAAAACTATTGTGACAATCATTAGATAAATACTAGCGAGAATTCGTGCATACTGCGCGGCTGGTTTCTTCTTTAACGTATGACTTCAGACGTTTAACTGTTCATCCGATAACAGACATATAGATACGCAATATTATGTATATAGATCGAAGCCTTACGGTCTCGCACTCCAATATCGCATATATTTTTATAGTCCATGTAGCCATATGTCCTTATAGCCTTATATTTCTTGTATCTCTTGTAGCCTTATCCCTTTACTGTCTTACACCCTTCAGGGCTTATGAGTACCCTATATGACGGCCCTTTAGGATCCATGGGTGCCCTCATATAATTGCTTTTGAGGACCTATGGGTACCTCCATAGGATAGCCCATGAGAAACTATGAGTACCTCCATAGGATAGCCCTTGAAGAACTGTGTTACCTCCATATAATAGCCCTTGAGGACCTATGAGTGCCTCTATATAATAGCCCTTGAGGATCTATGGGTACCTCCATAGTATAGCCCATGAGGAACTATGAGTACCTCCATAGAATAGCCCTTGAGGATCTATGAGTACCTCCATAGGATAGCCCTTGAAGAACTCTGTTACCTCCATATAATAGCCCCTGAGGACCTATGGGTACCCCCATATAATAGCACTTGAGGACCTATGGGTACCTCCATAGGATAGCCCTTGAGGATCTATGGCTACCCCCATATAATAGTCCTTGAGGGCCTATGGGTATCCTAATATAGTAGCCCTTGGGCCTTCCGCTTATAGCCTTATTTGACCTCTGATCCTTGACCTTTGACTTGGCACAGACACACACTGAACATTATATATATAGATGATGGAAGACCAGAAAAAAACCGTATTGGATTAACTTCAAAGAAAATTTTTTATAGATCAGTTTGGAAACATATAATCTTCAGTCATGTTATCCATATTTACTATAATATCTCTTAATTCGTACATGACTTCTCAGATCGGTAAAACTCGATGAAAATGCAACTTTCTGTATACCATGCAATACAGTACAAATTGCTCTACAAATTGGTATAGATGATTTTTCAAATGAAACGTGATCATCTTATCTCACAGGTATCTTTCAAAATAAAAACAAAAGGACAAATAAATTTTACCAAGTTCTGAACCAAGTACAAAACCAGATACAGAAATTCCTCGTGTTGAACAAGCTAGTAAAAAACGTGCTGTTACAAAAATAATATATGATGGCCAAAAACCATATATTTTTTGAGGACCAAATACACATAAAAATCCAGATACACTCATTAAAATAAAACTAACACTCATGATAGGACGACGACCATATCTAATTAAATAAAATTATTTTATTTTGATTTTTAGTCGAAAATTTTTACTTGTCAGCCAACACGCCAAAAACCAATGAACCAACCATATAACCAACAAAAAATATCACTTGTACGTTTGATCTATAAGAAAGACGACCACAAACCATTGTCCACTATTATTAAAATTAAAAAATAAGAATATAAAATATTTTTTTAATTTCGAAGGTTTTTTTACTTCTTCGACTAATGTTTTTGTATAATGTTTTCTTTCATAAACATATTCATTACATTTACGTAATTCTGCATTGACAGATGATTGATTATTAGTTCTTGATTGAATAAAACAACGTTGACATTCTTTAACTGATAATGGTTTTAATGCATTACATTGTTCTGCTGTTGGTTTATACATTGAATCGAACCAGTCATTTGATGCTTCATTATATTTATCTGTACCGATCGCAGCAGGATTTATACATCGAAAATTTGGTATTGCAGTCGTGAATGTATATGTATAAACCATTATTGGTGGAAGCATATATGTTAAACAAATAAGTGTATACTTCACTTTTTGAAATTTTCCCCAATCATTGATGGTGGCAAGGAATGTATCAAATTTCATGTTGAATTAATTTCACTTGTGTCTAAATTTTTTTCGTTTTGATCTACCAACAGAAAAAAAAGAAACCTAAAGAATGAATGAATTAAAGAAAGAAAAGCGGTAAAAATATTTTTTTTTTATTCTTTGTTTAGTGATATGTGGAATGACTCGATAGAATAGTTCGACTAGTGTGCACATAGAATCACGCATACATACACGAATGCATTAAGAAAAAATAAGTAAATAAACTATATATTAGTATTTCAAAAAGAAAGAAAGGAGGCACTCATTTGTGAGAATTAAGCAAAAAAACGTATGTGCACACAAATCAGATTAATAAACATGATGTGTAAAAAAAAACGCATATTGGATATTGTAATACATCACAGGAATTAATATAACAAAAAAATTGAATATGGGAAAACAATAACATGGTTACATAGACTTTTGAATATTTATAAGGTCAAAAACAATGAATCAACCAAAGGGATCAAATTTTGGACTAGGTGGTGGTGAACCTGGATCTCCTAAATCGAGTAAATCACTCATTAACTCATTGTTATTATTCTTTGGATTTAAACTAAGATTTTTTAGTGTCAATTGTCGTTGACTATCATTGTTAGGCATAGGAGCAGGTGTAGAAGCAGCAACACTAGGTACCGGTGGTGGTGGTCGACTAGGCACAAATTGATGTGGTTGTTGATGACAAAATGTACTACGATTATTATTATTTTCAGAATTTGTTGAATTTACTAAAGATGTCGGAAACATATTTAATGGTGAATCGGTTTGACGAGGAGGTGGAGCAGCAATATTAAATGGATCAATATAAAAAGTCGATCCAGTTGATTGTGTATGATTATCAAATAAAAGATTATTGTTATCTAATAAGAATATTCAATGATTTAGTTTTGTTTTATTTTTGGTTAGAAAAAAAAAGTGTAAGATACTTGTTTTAGTATTATTTGATACCGATTGAGAAGAAAAATGTAATGGATCAAACGAGTTTTCATCAAACAATGCCTGAAATTTAGAAAACTAATTTAATTGATTTTGTCTTTTTTTTATTATTATTTACATCCATCGGTTGACTTTGAAGGTTATTGTTTGATGAAAAATCATGCTTTGCATGATGATCAGAATCAAATGAAATCAATTCACCAACAGTATTTTCTTGATAATTATCATCTGTATCATTTCCACTAATTAAAGACAATTCTTCACCGGGAACTAAAAGAAAAGAAAAGAGCGAATTATTTTTTTTTCAAACACTATATTAAATTTGAGAAATAAATGGGTTTGTTATTGTACGAGATTCTATAGCACGAGAAGTATATTTAAAAAGCAGAATAAAAAAAATAATCGAATATATTGAAATAAAACTATATGAAAAATTAAATTTTATGAAAGACATAATTAGAAATGTAAGGTTTGTTATGAATGCTAGTTTCACTACTGAAATTGCGAATTATTGCCATTGGTTTTCTTTTGTTTTTTTTTTAGCATTTAAATTATTTGTTTGCTTTTAAAGTTTTTATTGTTCATTTAATGTAAATTTCATTTTGATTTGCTCCTTATTTGATGATTTCCATTAGTTTTTTTAGCTGATGCAGGTGTTGTATCTATTGGAATAGATGCCATTGGAGTTTGAGGATTTAATGAAGATAATAATATTTGTTTTGGTTCATATTTGAGAATATTTAAAATATCCTTAGATGATTCTTTATCTTTTCCTGTTTGATTTTTTTCATCCTTTGATAAATTTTTAATTTCTTTTTTATGAGTATTTCGATAATTGATTTGTTTTTCATGTTTTGTCATATGGTTTTCTTTAGATTTATGATGATTTTTTTGCCAATATCGAATACGTTCTTTTAAAGACATCTTAACTAATCCGAGAGTATTCTTTTTCTGGTCTACTTGATATTCATCATTGGGAATATAAGGTGAATACATATCATTATACTCATTGATTACATCATTTGTTTTATGATTATTTCTATCCAAATCTGTAATAATAATATTTTCATGATGACGTCGAAATCGTTCAAAATGATGTTGAATTCCATTCATTAAATGAAGGTTTTCAGTATCATCATTTTCTTGTTCATTGAAAATAATTTGTTTTGATTTTATGTTTTGATATATATGATTAGCTAGAATGGCAGAACGAAGATGATGATTATTGTTGTCTGTTGATTTTGTATTATCAAGCACGAAAAAAAAACGAAATTTTCTTTTTCATGCAATTTATATATGTTAATTCTTAATGTCCATGGTTAATCGTCTTCTTTGATTGATATTTTATTTAAATGGATTAAAATTTCTCATTGATAATAGATAAACAAATAGTTTCCATTGCAAGTTATAATAGAAAGTAAAATATAGTTTGTGCTAGAGATTTCAAAGCGTATATTAACAAATAGCGCAAGAAAAAAAGGAAAAAAAAAACAATTCTCTTACCAATACCAGCTACATTGACATCTTGTAGTGTTGAAAGAGATTCACGAGCTGGTTGTTGATAAGCACCAGGATCACTACAAGATATAATTAATAATTAATTGAAAGAGAAAGAAATATGTATGTATTTACTAAGCAATTGATTCTGGATCCATTGTTTGATTAGCATCAGCAAAAAGAATATTTAATTTTTGACTTAAAGCAATATCTTCATTTAAATCTATTAAACGTTTACTGAAGAAAATTCCACTAGGAAGCTAAAATGGACAAAAAACAAAAGATTTCATATTTTATTTTAAATCGAAATTGTTTTTTTTTGAACAAAATTGTTTCCATTTTGAACTATAATGATTTTTCATGAGAGAATTTTCTTTTTCCATTTGACTCTTAATTGGTATTTATTGCAAATAGACTTTCAATATTATGTTTTTAGATTAAAAACGAGAACTTTAAGTGTATGAATTGCACATTATAAAAATTTTCGCGACACTTTCGATTTCTATTGTTATTCCAATGTTTTCTAACTTTGAATAGTACTATCGAAAGGAACAGAAAAATGTCTTTTTACATTTGAAATCATAGAATATACATATTTTCTACAAAGCAACTATTCAATAGAAATCCTAGATATGTATTAAACATCGCTGAGAATAGAAAGAATGAGGCTCTCTTTTGTCTTCATCTTGTAGGGCTAATTCAATTTTACAAAATGAGACATTTCGTAGCCCTCTGATATGTGAAATAAATGAGTTATTGAACATTACAAAAGAGATTTTCAATATGTTTGAACTTGCTTCGCTGGAGATTATGACTAAAAACAGTTTTTCTATAATGATGTTGAATAACTCATTGATTTTATACAGCAGAAAGCTATGAAACGTCTCAGCTCGACAAGATGGAAGCAAGAGAGAATAACTCTCTTACTGTTCTCAACGAGTTTTTAATGCATATCCAGGATTTCTACTTAAAAGTCGCTTTCCAGAAAATACGTGTAGTCTATCATTTCAAACCTAAAAAAGATATTTTTCTGTTCTTGTCGGTAGTACTATTCAAAGTTGAAAAAAGAAGTTATCAGTGAGGCTTTATGAAGATCCAAAGTGTGAAACTCACAAACTATGTATTATAAACTTATGATATATTGTCAGAGAAATTAAAATAATTTATTTCAAAAAATGCCAGATAAATGAATAAGTCAAAATGATAAGAATTTTTATAATTGACATATGTGCTCTGAAGTTTTATAATTTCGGAAATGTTTGCATTTAGAAGTCCTATTCTACGAAATTATTAGATTCATTTAACGTCGTTATACTAAAAAAATCTTGTTTGTATTCTTAAATACATCTTCAATACATAACTTCTTTTCTTCTAATGATGGTATATACGATACATGGCATAGGAAGTGACAAATATAATTTTATTCGTCGTTTAACTACTATAGTAGCCTGCTATACACATTGATTTAATCGTTCAGTAAACTTCCGAGAGCACTGCTCTTTCTCTCGACGAATTTTCATATATACTGTTAAGTTTTGCCCAAACTTAGAGTTTGATTAGTCTATACTTTTCTATGTTCGTTCAATTCTGATTCTGCTAGATTAATAATATCACTGCTTGTTCTACTCATTGGCACCTACAATAAGATTCTTTTATTATATTCAATACCAAAACCTTCAATATTTAGACTAGTTAGAATCTATAATAGAAATCTTACATTCACAGAATGCTTTGGAAGAAAATTTCCAGAATGATTTAAGCATTGCTATTGTTGACGAGCCTTTTCCCGTTGCTAGAACTAAAGAATGGGAGAATCACAAAAACCTCGATCTACAGACACTATTTTCTTTGAAGATACATGTAAATTCCAAAAAAAAGTTGAATAACAATAGAAATAAATGTATCACGAAATTTTTTGTAAAATATTGTCACATACACTCAAATTGATAGTATTTGTTTCAATAAGTGATATACGAAAGATAAGCAACTAACAAAACTTATTGAGAAGACTAATGAATTATTTCTTTGTTTTCATATATCTAAAATGTATTATTAATAAATTCTTTAAACATAATTTAACATTCTCTTTTGATTTATATCTAAACGAACAAAATTTCAAATAATTTACTTGATCTTCTTTTGGTTCCATAACTCTTCGAGCATGTTCACCATTTTCAAAAAACATATGTACTGAAAGATATCTTTGATTTGAAGTGCAACTAAAATCAAAGAAAATAAGAATAACAAAAAAAAAGAAAAGAAAAGAAAAGAAAATTTCTTACAATCGATCAACAATTGATATATCTGATCCATATTTTCTTTTGACATATGAATCAAATTCATCCATTAATTGATGTTTTCTTTGACTTAAATCAGCACGCATATCATAAATAATAAGTGCATTTGATGGTGCAAGTCTTTTATATATTTGAACATATTCATCATAGAGTTTTTTTTCATCACATATTTCAATATCAACATCAAATATTGAATTAACAGGACGATGATCAGATGTTTTAACTTCAGCACGTCCATAATATAATTGTGTAGCTTGAACATTAGGTGATGTACTACGCCAAAGTATACGATCTGTATATGATGGTGTACGAGCTTTTTCACTTGTATCATATACATCTGAACCAATATCATATTTATAAGTTGGAGGAAAATTTATTGGACCTTCATTAAATTCACGAAAAACCTTTTTAAAGAAATATTTCATTTAAGTTTTGTTTCAAAAAAAAATAAAATAAACAAACTTTTCCATCTGTACGTTCTTTTTTTAATTGATCATATTCAAGTAATTCTAGATAAGTTTGATTTTGAATAAAATGTTCAACTTGTGCACGTGAACTTGTTAAACGATAATTAAAATCACCCAAAAAAAATATATGATCATGCCATAATGCTCTTGATGGCTATATATATTAATTCAAAAAAGAATTAAAAAAGAAAAAGAAAAACATAATTGTTTACCGGTTGAAAAGAAAGTTTTTCCATAATGGATCTATAATCTTTATTACGTTCATTATATTCATTTTGTCCAGCTGTAAAATGTGCACATATAAAACAGATAGAAGTACTATGTAACACGAGACGAACAGCGACCTAAAAATATAAAACATACTTGTTATGTCGAAGGACACATTATTAAACTTGTGGCAACAGATTGATATTACTATAACAGGAGGTTTCTACTTTCAGTCAATAGTTATCTACATATCAAGACTATAAAAATAAAATCTAACTAAAACAAACACTTGGAAAAAAAGAACAAAAAGAAAATGTAAATTTTCATGAATAGTTAAAAATATGTTAATGGAAAATATGTTTATAAAATATGCAAATAGTTTTTTGATCGAATTCAACTAGAGATGATTGTTTACTTATATATATATGAATAGATAATCTTAGATTAATATTTGAATTTTTAAAAGATTTGAAGTTAAAATATTTCGTTTTTTTTCACCTTTTGCATTCACTATTAGAAAAGTACGGGATCGGAACTAGGAGAAAAAGGTTGTTAAACCGGAACTAAAAATTATAGTGAAATTTTCTATGATTTTCCAGTGAATTATATTATAAATCTCATCAATCAAAGCAAAATTTAGGAGTTATGACCAAAAAAAAAAGTGATATTCGTTCGAGGAATAAATCAAACTACAAGTATTTAAGATTTCCTTTGCGAACTGATATTCTGCTCATAAGGAAGTCTTGTAGACCTTAGAATATCCTGAAAATTTCAGCTCAAAAGAATCTGTTCTTCTTGAGATATTGAATATTTCAAAAACAATCATGTGTTACAAGGAAAGATAAGAAAATTCAGTGTTTTCAACATTTGATATCTCAAGAGCAACACATCCTTTCGAGCTAAAATCTTCGTGGATATTCTAAGATTTATGAGATCTATCTATGAGTAAAATTTCAGATTGAAATTTTCTAATTCAATTTTTTCACCAATACCTTGCCAGAGATGAAAAATTCTGTAAATTGTAATAGCTTAGGAAGTACAATGAATGAGGACGGCCCTCTACATGATTCTACTAGTCTCTTCGAGATCTACTAATAGGTAAAATATTAATTTGATTGTCCAGTCACACTTGAGAACTTCTCGCTCATTAGCCGAGAGAGACCTAACAAAAATAAAATCACTAAGACTGAGACTAGATCAGATTTAACAGAACTATGACCAAAACCACTGGAAAATAAGTTACTAGAACCGAGAATAAAAAAAAGGTTAGTCCTGTACATCTGTATTTACTACTCATTTACAACTATTCTAAACATCATTATTAATGGCAGTCTTTTTATCTAATGCAACTGTTTTGTTGATATTCAAAAGTGTTTTCATTGACAAAAAGATTTGAAAATTATTATTCTGGTATATTGATCAATTACATAGTAAATATATTTCGAGATTCATCTGTTTGATGAGATTACTTATTGACTAAAGATTTGTTTTTAGAAAAAATTGTCTCTAAAGTACATGTGCTGTGAAAACTTTTTTCATATTTTCATCTTATCTACTCAAAACCCATCGCAGAAAGAAAAAGTTTCAACTTACAAATCGTTCTACCTTTACTTTTCTTCCGATGATCCCTGAAGTGGCCAAACTATTCCGAATAACGTCAAATACATCTGATCAGTCTATCAATACTCTATTTGTGTGGTTATTTTATCAGTGGCTTTTGTGATTCCCTCCATCAGGAGGGAGGGAGATAATTTTAACTGCTAAAGTGTCACCATATAAATCAGATTTCATTCAAAATACTCAAACTCAACATAAATAGATAAGTCATTGAAGTTCTCTGAAAACTTTATTTTTACTGTGAGTTATTCAAGACTGAACACACAGTGTAATCAAAAAATCTTCAACTAAATCTAAGGTACCCATATACTCTTTCGATCTCTTCTTTTTTTTTGCAATATTTATGTTATGTTATAACTTGTATTATTTTTTTCTCTTATACATATTTTTTTATAGATATACACCAGTTCCTGTTCTGACTAGTTGACTGTGAATTCAATAAACTAAGGCTAATGCGTACCGAGTCTTGTTTATGTTATATTATTAAATGGCAGAAAAAAATGATTGATAATCAATGTATCTAGAATGTTAGATTACAGGTATATTAAGAAACGTAGAAATACCATTAAATAGCTCAAATTACTAGGGCAGCAAAATGTATCAGATCTTTTGAGGGGGAAGCAGAAAAGTATGACAAATTTTTCTGACTGATAGAAACAGACAAGCTTTCTTTAAGTTTTCCGATTTTTTCCCAACAGCTGACTTCGTCTGTTTTTTTAGGGAAGTGCCGTTCCAAGCTACGAATAGATTCTTCATCTCTGCAGAATACTACAAGTACAAAAGTACGTTATTTTCTTAGTTCTAATAAACAAATGTTCAGGTACGAAATAATTTTATTGACTTAAACATCCGGAAAAACATTAATAAATAATCAGTAAATAACGGAAATAAATACTTACACATCCTTTATTTCCTATTGCGCCACCCATTCCAGTTTTAACTGTATCAATACCGATGTTTCTATTAAAAATAAATAAATAAAATCATTGAAAGTACAAAATAATACAAGTTTTGAATGTTATACTTGACATAGGGTGCTAGACCTCGTCGAATAAATATTGCTAAACACACACCAACAAGTTGATCCATACCCAATAGAATATATTCATTATTAGGATCAGTTCTTTTAAAATGATTTCGTACATTATTAACCCAACGATTTGCATTAGACGAACTAATTTAAAATAAAATCTCTTTAGATAAATAAAAAACATTCTTTTCTTTTTTTGTCAAAAAATCTTTTACCTTTTTGAAACAATATTTGAAGCTGTTAAATCACATATTTCTTGAAAACCAATTGCTAATATATCTGGCATAGATTTAACATAATCATTAGTAGAATATCCTAAAAGAAAATTATTAAAAAAATCCTTTGAGAGATTTGTCTTTTTTTTTTCAAACAAACCAAGAGTTGGAATAGTATTAGCTTTTCTTCGTTTCGATGGTAGATTCTCTGGTCCATCAAGCATCCAAGCATCAAGAATTGCTGGATATTCATGTTCTAATGCTGGATTTTTATCTCCATTTATATTCCATGTACCAATTGATATACGAATTTTATCTTTATTAACATAATTTCGACGATTTTTAAACATTTCACTTAAGATAATACCATCAGCTAGAAAATAGATTTAATTATTTAAAAATTTTTCATTAACAATAAAAAAAAAACTAATAATAATCATTTACATATAACATAAGGAGTAAAAAGAGCAGCAACAGAACGTTCATGTAAATATGAATCTTTTGCATATGTATAAATTAATGTTTGCATTGATTGTTGTTTTTCATCATCACGTAAATTATTTTGTATTGCACGACCAACACTACGTTGAATATCTTTTGCCTATGAAAGATAATGTTTTTTTTAAATTTTATATAATTTAACGCTCAATAAAATGAAATTTATGCACAAAATTTCATTACTAAGTATTGAAAGAATATATCAAATTAATAGGAGAATATCTTCTAGTTTGATACAACAGTAAAGTTCTACAGAATTATTCGATGTCCATGTCAGAGATAAATGAAGATGGATTCGTCGAACATGGCATTAACTAATGATCTGTAGTGTAAGGAAACAATACAAAGCATCCATTTAAGCAATTATATTGAAAAAATTCATGATAATCATATGTTGTACTGATGAATTTTTTTGTAAGAAATAACAACAATCTGATTATTAATCAATACGATTATTAATTTATAGATAAATCCAATGTTCGAATATATTAAGTCAACATTACAAAATAAGAAAATAATCGTATTGATTTTAGATTCTTCTATTTCATACACATGTCAAAATTCAAAGATAATCAATATCATATACAACTATAAGGTTTGCTTTTTTTTTATGTGTTATGCTCAGTTTTAGATTTGAAATAATTTCTATCTTAAAAATCATTTGAATAAACAACGTCAGAGAGTCTCTTGTTTCAAATGCTGAAAAATTGTCAATCGCTAACTGCTTATATATTTCTTTAAAAAAATTCGTATCGCTGGGAACCCAAAAATAAGGTTTCTGGACATCATTATGCTGGAAGAATTTCAGAGATCGTGTCGGAAACCTTTTTTTCAGGATTTCCCATAATAACGATTTTTTTCAGAGTCTATTTAAGGGACATCAGAGAGACGGAATGATGTATCTTAGAAATAACCAGTCATTAGCCAACGAAGGAATCTCCTCAGATGTTTCCTTTCGTTAAACATCTGCCACTTTCGCAACACGATTGTAGTTAAAAAAATGTTTTGAATTTCACTGCTGTGACTTCACTGAACTAGAACTACTGCTACCAATCCATAAGATTCATCGAGTTTCAGAATGTTTCATTTGTAGACATTAAAATTAAATGCAAACTTTTGCAATGTCATTCAAAAAAAGCTTTCGTCACTGTTTCGATGAACATCTCTGATAAAAGCTTCATAATCAAAAAGTTAAAACCATGTTTTCTTTGCAAAATGACGTTCTTACTTTACTTCGTTGTCCTAATGCACCGGTACCCGTATAAATTCTACTAATATGATCTCCATTATTAACCCACATTTCTCTTAATTTATCTGCTATATGATATAAATCACATTGTTTATTTAAATATTTTAATTGCATAGATAAAATATTTAAACCAATTGTTAATTGTACATTATTTGTTCTATCAAGACAATCAATACAATTAATACGAAAAATTCCTTTTTGTGAACTATGTAATACTCCATCAAACCACGTAAATATACTTTGTCGTTGTAATTCATGTTCAATTGAATATTGTGCATTTTCAATTAATAATTTTTGAACAAATTGTTCAGGTGTTAAATTTCTAATAGAACGTGATTGTTCATGATAATCAAACCAGATAAAATCTCGTTCACTTAAACGATTTACTAATGATCTTTGATTATTTTGTGCTTGTTTAAATGTTTTAACAAATAAATTAAATAAATTTCTATATTCATCTCCAATATGTTTTTCATGATCACGTTGTCCAATTAAATTTATTACTAATACACGACCATAATGTCGATAAAGATGTTTAAAATGTCTATGAAATATAAATTGTTTAGTTTTCAAAAAATAGAAAAACAAAATGAAGAATTAATTTACTCAAAAAAAGCTTTAAAACTTAATGCTTCACTTCGTGATATTGTTATACGATGAGTAGCAACCTAAGAAAAAAAAGAAAGCCATAAATGTCAAGCAATACATATTTCAAACATTTTTATGATTTTTTTTTTTATTACCCCTTCTCCCTCTCAACGATTAATCTTGAACCAGGTGCATTCAAATCATGTGAAACTTTCAGATTATATTGAGGGTATACTAAAATTTTCAGCCATATATCATGTTGTTCAAGAAAGATATTCAACAAATAAAAATCGTAAATAGATCATTTTCTTTCTGTGGATCTTCATCTTATATACTTAGTATTTTTTATTTGAGAGAGCATGTCAGATTGTAGTGCCCTTTTTTTTATGTGGAAAAAAAAAGGATGACAAGTTCAATGACTTGAAAAGCTTTCAAAAACAAAAATGGGTATCTATTTATAGAAGTGCGTTTTTATATAACAATAAAAAAATTTAATTCAAAAAGCAAGTACTGCAGCTTCACATGCTCTTTTAAACAAAGAAGGAAGCATTTTGTGTTAATGATGCTACTTCGAAGAATCTGGAAAAACAATAGAGAAAAAGTGATGGAAATCATCAAGAATTATACCAAAAACAAGATGTCAAATAAAAATTCATATTGTTTATGAAAGATCACATCTCGAACAATCTTATAATGCATGTATCTTGGTTTCGATTCTTCTGACGAAAATTGACTTTTTTTTTTGATAGGTGGGACCTTAGCCTTTTACTCCCCACAACAGTCCTGAAAGAGCCACTATAAATAGAGTATTAGCCTGTCTAATATGGCAATAATGTGGTCTAATCCACCAAGTGTCCATCTCATTATGTAGAATGGTTTTATCCGTCCAGTGACCCCGTGATGGGACAAAAGGGGCCGAAAAGCATGTTAAGCCTTGTTTTTTTTTGTAAAACACAATTAAAAACGAGTTTTGAAGTGTAGGGTAAAAATTTGGGCCCATTCTCTCTCAACAGTCATGACAGATATCATTAGCAACGTTTCTCTTCACCACCGATCCTATATCAATGACATCTTGTCATAATATATGAACTACTTTCTTATTACATATCTCAAGGATTAGATGAAAGGATGATGAGGAAATGTGTCCCATAATAGATAGAATAAAACAATCTCTCTATGATTAGTAACAGCAACTGCATTGAATTTCACATTTTAATCTCGCTGGAATTGCACTAGCAGCTTTTTCCTTCGGTCACATTAGTGAGTGGGCAGAAGCAACATCTATTCCATGTTATTGGAGTGATAGAAAAAAGGAAGGAGTGATTCGATAGAAGTTAATATCAAAAGAATATATGTATTTTGGATACATATTGTTAAATAAGCATTTACTTTACTTTGAGCCATTTCATAACTTCTAAAGACATTTAATTCATAATAAATACTATTTCAAATTCTCATGAGTTGGAATTTTTAATGTATATAGTAACTGTGTTCTTGAATTCTCTCCAACTGCTCAATAGTGTCTGCATGGTTAATTGTATACTTTCGTATTTGTAATTTGTCGATTGATCGTGAAGCTTTCGAAAGATGGGAACATTTTTGTTTCGAAAAATTCGAATTTTTTTTTCGGTTTTTCAAAATTATTGATTTTATAATCCCGATATTTCAAAGACGGAACGATGACAAAAAAAAAATATTGTCATCATTTTCAAATCCCATGCTTTCTATCTTTTCTGCAATTGTTCTATAAATGGTTATTCCAGTAACTGACGGGAGTAAAGGGTTAAAACGAATCGGAAAATAATAAAGAAAAAAAAAAAACAAAATCTAAATTTTCATTTTTTATGTTAGTTCATTTAATAAATGAATTAAATTTTCTTACTTGAAATTTTGGTTGATGCCAAAAAAGTGGTATTGAACCACGAACAATAACAAATGATGAATAATTACGTTGTTTAGGAAGAAGAACAATCTATAAAAATTTTAAATTAAAAAAAACAACTCAAATTTTTCTTTTTTTTTTACTTGTTCTGTTTCAACAAAATTTGCTACTGCACCATCATCATTAAGACCACGAACATAAAATCTCGTTCCAGCTCGTTCACAACTTAACCTAATCGAAAGAAAACCTTCATAAAAGTAAGAATAATAAATGTTTGATCTACCTTGATATTAACCATAAATCAATATCATCACTTTGGCTTCCGTATTTTTCAATTCCACCACACATTATTTTTGGTATCCAATAACGAATATCAATATTATATTTTAACAATGGCAAACATAAACCTCGATTCCTTGAAAAATAGAAAAGCAAATGTTCTGAGTTTCAGATCAAAAGCTACGAATGAAATTTCTCTAAGATTAAAATGTCAAACATAAAACAAATGTTGTTACTATTAGAACGATATGTTTAATAAATCGATTGAGAGAAATACTGCACGTAACTTCTCGTATCCTTATAGTAGAAGAGCTTTACTTAATTATTTAATGAATGAAGAAATTGAAAGTTTTTTTTTGTTTTGGAATAACTTTCTAATCATTAGCAATTAAATAGAATGATGAATCTAATAGAAAACTTTTCAGAAACATTTAATTCACTTAGTTATAATCGAAGATTCGAGATCTTCGATTATATGGAATATTACCCTACAGCTTCTTTTAGTTTCTATTTAAGCTTACAAGTTTTCTTTGTAGTCATTTGTATAAATATCGAATAGATTTTATTGTCAAGCTTAGACTTCTTAAGATCTATTGAAGAGAGAAGACGAACTAAATATCTCATTCTATACTTCAACTCGAGATATGCTGGATCAAGCTTTTATTGGTCCCGGCCTAGGAAAAACTATACCAGAATTTATTCGTTTCACATCTGAAAAATGTCCTTTACTATTCGTTCTTTGACTAATTTAGCTGATGACTAACTTTTTTTGGGTTATCTCTCTTCAGCTATGTTCTGATTTATAAGATAATAGATAGATCTTGAAGAGTAGTAGAACAAAAATTGTGCTAGACTCAAAGTTTCAAATGCTGTCTTTTATGATATATTAGATTCACAATTGATGAAAACGACCCCTTTTTTCGTCTCCGTTTCTCCGAGATATTATGTTCGATCGATTTGCCTTCCTTATATTATTTCTCCTTTCAATAAAAAAGTCAAAATACTGGACGTATCCCCTAAAAACACTTGCCTTTTTTTTTTCATTCGAACAAATATTTGTGAAAACTGTCAAAAATCACCAGAGCAAATGTTTTTGAAATAAAAAAAAAATTTCAGCTCGATTCGTCTTACCATGTCGCAGAAACGGAGTGAAACAGTACTTTTCAGAGACCATCATCAGAACAGGACAAACTAGTTTGCTCTGATAACATTTTTTTTTATAAAAAGTCGTTTGAAACATTTCCTAAATGCAAACATGAATCTTTTCGAATATGTATCATCTATGTTATTTCACCAGCTAGTGATGATTTCATGTTTTTGATCAGTTTTATTATAACTTGTGTATATGATATTTATTCTAATTGATCATCGCTCAATATGAACTCTTTTATTTTCAAGGAGATTCAATACATCTTATCAAATCATATTTGCGTCACGTCGTCAAATTTTACTGTTTTATTGTCAAGATGTTTTTTTTTGTATTCTCTCTAATTGATTAAAAAGATATTTTAATTTCTATTAATTAAAACTTATCAATGAATTTTAATCGGTTTATAACAGATTTATGATCGTTTTTATGCATGGGTAATATTCTTTTGAAATTATATTAAAAAAAGATATGAGGACTGAATATAACCACAATAAAAATTTTTTGTTATATTATCAACTAGAGAACTGCGTGACCACAATTTTTGGTCACAGTTACGACACACCTAATCGAAGTCACAGTCACGCCGTACCTGGTCACGGTCACTTTTCAAATTCAATCGCGGTCACGAGAACTTTTCAGATTTAGTTACGATCACACTAATAAGGCTTTTGAAAAAACTTTCTTAAACACTAATATCGTCAAAATTGCCTTCAGTTCATCAATTAGCCGTGATTTTTTGGCAAAAACTGCAAAAGTTTGACAAAAATCTTGGATTTTTGCATGATTTTGGTCTTTGTCATAGTCATGATCACAAGAGACCTAATAACGGTCACGGTCACGCGTGACCGTGACTCACGACCACTTTGCAGACCTCTATTACCAACACATTCCATGGTTGACCTCAGTTTACATACCCTGTAATGGTCTCTGGTACTTTTATTGTATTAAAATTTGATTTTGAGAAAAAAATCAAAGCACAATTGAATTGCAATTTTAGTCTGAATACTCATCTTTTTTTCTTTCTATTTAAAATTGTACAGATTTTCGACTATTAATGAGCTAGTTTTCTACATTCAAAGAATTTTTTTTTTCTATATACCTGCTAGATGTTTGTGATCAGAAACGCATTAATAATATATGTCTTGTTAATTATATCTCTCTTGTGTTACGAACATAAGAAAGGAAATAAATAAAGTAGTCAATGAAAAAATGAATAACTGAAATTAAATCATTCCAAAGGTGTACTAACTTTATAACCAGCGATTAGAAATAGCCTTGAATATAAAAAAGTAAAGCATACTATTAAAAATAAGTTTCAAGTCGAAACCTTTCAATTTCATCATATATCTTGACATACGATTCTAGCATGATCATATACTAAAAATGAGTATAACTACAAGTAGACGTAATATTTTGAAAAAAAGGTAAAAATCGAGTTGGGTGAGATGCGGACGAAGTCTCGAAAATCGATTTTTTTTTTTTGAGGTAAAAATAAGTCGTTTTTTTGCAGACCGATAGAGGACACTTGAAAGTATATAGGAAACGGATGATCTTTAAAAAGATAGAATATTTAATTATAATTTTTAGTTCTAGGTGGGATAACCTTATTCTCATAGTTTCGGTTCTAAAAGTTACTTCCGCACATCTCAAGACTTCAACACCTGTTTTCATATTTCACAAAAAAACTGCATTAAAATAAATAAACAAACCAAAAAAATCGTAGATCACTATCATGTCCTTGTGCCATTCGTTGAGCACATAATGTTATATCATATGGTTTATCAAAATAATGTTTACTATTATTTGATTCAGGTTTACAATATTTTGAATAATAAAAACATCGTCCTTGAAATAATTTTCTAAAATTAACATAAAAAAATTAATAAACGTGATATGATTATAAATTTGTTACTTTATTCCAGCAACATAATTATCATCTTCTTGATTATCACGTATAGAAATAGCTGAAACTTGTATAATACCTTTAAAAAATAAAATAAAATCAATTTTTTTATTTTGTAAATTTTTTTTTATCTTTATACGATATATATAAGCATCAAATAATCGTCCAATACATGCTTCTTCTGTTACAAAGATCATAAATGGGCGAACAGTACCAGCAGCTAAAAAAAAATTATTAATAATCAATTATTTTTTTTCTTTTTATAATTAAATACGAACTATTAGCAGTGATACTATTTGTTGCATTGTTCAATACTAATACACCAAGGAAAGCTTTAGCACGAAGAACTAATGTTGGTACATCTATAGATTGTTGATTGATTCCTTTAAGGATAAAAAAACAATTCTTTTTTCTAAATAAATATTTATGTAAAATAAACAATGGAAAATAATCCTTCGATCATGTTGTTTTTTCTCTGCATAGAAATACTAATGATACCCTATAGGAAACTTTTGTTTGGGATCGTGATTAATGAAATCCACGCATACAGAATATGAATCATCTATTAGTTTGACAGCTTTTTTGCACAATGATTCATCTACCGTCATTATGATAATTTAGTTTTCAATAAGTTTTAATAATTCATTCGATTAGATATTCATTAAAATTAAATATAATTTTGTTTTACTTTTATAAATATCAATATATTAGATAGTATTACGGCACACATAAATATAAAATCTCTTATTAATCAAAAACGAAAATCAAATTATTCTCATTATTTTTAAAATCTAAGTAGCATTGTTAACAATGAAATGTTATGCATATTTAGACTGTACAGTATCATTATGAAACTCGAAATTTTGGAAACAATAAGATTTTATATACAAATGTATATCACTTGATAAGAACGTTTTAATATAAAAATCTCTTCGATTATGGAAAATTTTTATTGTTTCCAAGCAGAGCTGAAATTCTCTTTTTGTATTCTGTTAGAAGAAAAATATTCTCCCTTTGCAAAAAAAATCTCGATCCACCCACAATGTTTGCTTCTCCGAGTTACTCCCTGATAAAAACTTCTACGATTTTGAATTTTAGCATATTATAAAATTGAAGTTTTCAAATAAAAAGATATTATGCATGACATATTAGGTTTTTTTTCTGCGGAAATCGCTTTAATATATTATTGTTGATGAACGAGTCATGCAAGAATGTTTATTTAGTATTTTTTTCTCTTCAAACTTACGAACACTTTGTTGTTCAACATTATAAAACCTTGATGATGTTCCTGGTGTTGATGGAAGTGGTGGTGTATCCTGTGATAATTTTATATCATCTAATAGACATATTGTAAATGGAAGTATATATGAATTAACAGTATTTTTTTGCTGTTGTGATTTATATCGTAAATGAAGTATATTTGAATGAGTTGATGATGATGGATTACATTGTTGTTGAAGTTGAACATAATATGATGCAAAAACTTGTTGAGAATTTTGTGATTGAGATAAATCATACGATTGAAATGAATGCATAGGTTCAACTTTTCTATATACTAATACATTCCAATTTGCAATTGGACATTCAGGTGGTAAAACTCGTCGTGTTGATTCCGTTGGTGGTGCATTAGGAAACATGTTAATTTAATCTTGGAGTAGATGAAAATAAAAATCTAGCCGGAGCTAAATGATCTTGCTTTGTTTGGTATATATTTAAAAAAGAATAAAAGATTAAATTAAATTCTATTTCTAAAAATTGGATTGGTTTTGTTTTTAAACCAATCATAAAAATTTAAAATGATTTTATTGATTTTTGTTTAAAATCAATCGACTTTTTCTTCCGATAAGGTAAATAAAATAAGTAAAAGAATGATTCATTAAATCAACTTAAAGTAAGAAAAAAAAAAAGATTTTAAAAAAAAATTGATGTCACCATCTTCGTCACCAAGTTTAATTCTGACATATACAGGCGGTGTAATAATATTTTTCCAGGGGGCTAACGCGGTGATTTCAAATAGTATCAACCACAAATTTTATATCAAATTAAAGTGCGTCGAAAGTGTTATTCATCAATAGTAAATAGTAATGATTTAGTCAATTTTCCAGTGTTGAATTTAGAAAATTCCTAAAATTTTAGGCCTATCAGCAGAGAAGAATATCTTTCATAAAGGCAGGTCAAGCCGAATCTCATTTTAAAATGATGAATATCGAAAAGTAATATTTATCTCTTAAGACTGGATGAGCATAATTAATAATCAGTATGATGGTCATTACCGTTTTTATAGCAGAAATACGAAACGCATATGAAATATGTTGTTTTTTAGAATTTCTTCATCAAAATAATTGTGGTTCGTGTCTGATACTCATTCTTTTCAGCTGCACTGTTGATTATTGTTCTAACATTTCCAGCTCAGGTATTCAATACTTTTTAATATTCATCATTTTAAATGGGATCCAGTTTAAGTTGACCTTACCCTTACTGTTTAGTATTGATGAATTCCATTTTCGACGCGCTTTAATTTGATATAAAATTTGTGGTTGATATTATTTGAAATCGTAGCGTTAGCCCCCTGGAAAAATATTTTTACACATCCTGTACAATCAATTTTAGACACCATTATGTTGAATTATGGAACTGAAACCAATTCATATGAGAACGACAATAACTTTCATCAGAATTATAGACGAAGAAATTCTCAACTTTATACAAAACGACAATGGCAAAGTGCATTTTGCCCACCAACTGTAAATAAAATATATTTGTTTTAAATTTAAATTGACTTTCTTTTCTTGTCATATTAGAATATTGATATTCAACAAACAATGATATCATTAGCACAACAACAATTATTTGAACAATGTCAATCACTTGATGGAACACAACAATCACAATATTATCCTGAACAAACAATTCTACCATTACCACAGAATGTTGATATGAGTATGATACAAACACCTTATACTCAATTGCCAGTTTTATTACACGAACAACACGATATTTCTAATGCATATGCTTCAGTAAATCAACAATGTCATTCTCATTCATCAACTGTTCCTTTAACAATAAGTAATTTACAAGAAGATCAAACATTAAAAGAAACTGTTGAAGTAAGTTTCAAATTAATAATCAAACTTATTAAATATTATTTGTAGGTTGATTCTTTATCATCATCAACAAATACAAATCTAAATGAAAAATCTATTTCGAATAAAACACAAGTAACGGTTAATGAATCAATATCAGTAACAGATAATCCAGAAATCAAAACAACAACTTCATTTATTTATGATTTAAAAAAATATAAATATGATTATTTTTTATCTAAACTTTCATGTTCTTCTAATCATGACTATGGAAAATTCGGTTTACCAACAGGTATTTGTACTTTACCTGATGATCGTTTATTAGTTGCAAATTTCGATCATGATTCACTTTTACTTATTGATATAAATGGTATTGTTCATCAAATATATAAAGATTTACCAACACCAAAAGATGTTCGATATTATTCATCAAATCCATTACAAGCTATTGTTGCTACCAAAAAAGAAGTTATTATTTTAGATTTAGAAAAAAGTCAAATTGTTGTAAAAAGTAAACTTAAAGGATTTTATCCATGGAATATTCAATATATTCAAGAACAAAATACTATTTCAGGTATGTTTTAATGGTATTTTTAGATATAAATATGAATTTTTGAAAGTAATTATTTATTGACTATACGTATATATTAAATAAGATTCATAAAAAAAAAAATTATTATTATTATTTTATTGTATAACCTTGAGACATATGTAATCATGATACTATTTCAATAAAGCTTGATGAGATTATTTACATGTCTTCTTTTCTGTCATGGAAAGTAGAACTTAATATTAATGAGCATGTGAACTTTTTCTATGTCGTTAATAACGATACGTAAAAACAAATGAATATATGAAAAATGTCAACTTTAGTTTGAATCTCATAGGAAGGTTATGTCTATTACAAAAAACAGCTAATAAATTCTATCGAGAGTTCTGAACATCATGATAAATGTAACAAAATTTAATCGTATTGCATTTAGGAAACAATTAATATGAAACACAAACACATGTAGAAGAATTTCGAGTAGGAAGTGCTTCCAATCTTGGAAAGTGTTACTTGTCATCTGAAACTTTCAGTTGTAATTTACTGTCTCATAAGTATTGCCTCCTCTCCTCAAAACTTGAGTAATTTGTCTCGTGAAAAGTAACCTCTCGATCTCAATTCTAGCCATTTCGGTACACATCCAACACATCTTCTTAATCGGTCATAGGCTAACATATTACTTTCAGCTTACGAGAGAAATCTCCCAACTCATTAATCGCTTTTGAGTCTGGACTAGAGTTGTGCAAGATTGCGTTGTTTTTGATACCAGTAACTTTTTTTCAACCGATCACGATCATAACGCCATAAATTTGGTCGAGTCTTGGTAACTTCTTTTCTAATGGTACTGATCATGAACTCGATAAATCTAATCTGATTCCGGTCCCAACGATTTTAGTTTTTCGAGTGCCGATCTACAGAAACTATTCCAGAATTTATTCGTCTCATATCTAAACAGCATTCTTCAATACTCGGTTTTTGATTTACTTTGTCGATGACTAGCACTTAGTTGCTAATTTCTCTTGAATTATGTGTTGATTGATATGATCTATAAAATAATTCACTTACAACCTTAGAATATTTGACTATAATGTTTAGTTTTGATCAGGACTAATTTTTCTCTCGTTTTTGCACAGAGACAGACCGTGATGAGAGTAGTTTATTGTGAAAGTTTCAGACCTTTTGATACATTTCTATCTTACAATAAGAAATATTGAATCTACTAGTGTATATGAACGATGGAAAAGACGTACTTTTAGCATCAGCATATTTTTCCATAGGAATGATGAAAAGATCTGAAACTTTCACCACCATACACTAGTCTCATTAAGATTTGTCTCTTTGCAAAGTTTAAATGAAGATTCGAAAATCAGTTTTCCCGGTATTCCTAAAGGAGACTACGATATTAACTTGAAAAAAAATACTATAAAAATGCAGTATCTTTATAACAATAAGCTAAGAACCCGACTCTTTTCAGAGTATTGAAAATTCATCACAGTCTAAATAATCTCGACTCAATAGTGATTATTTAGTTGGTCGACTTTCCTCGTCAGAGGTATCCTGTGTGATATATCTTCCCATATGACTGGGTCATTATTCTCATATTTAATTTCGTAGATATGTAAATATTGATAAAATTTATAGCAAATCTTTTAGATTTGAAAGTTTAAGTCAAAATAAATACGAAGAAATAAAATTATTTCTATTTAGCATGTGATCCATCAGGTGAACGTATTGTTTTCTTCAATAAAGATCTAGCTTGCATTGGTGAGTGGTCATTTAACAATGCAAATCAGCAAGCTCTGTGTCATTTAAAATCACAGCCTTATAACAAAGTCTATCCTTATGCAGCATATCTTTTACCTGATAATACATCATTTATATTAAAATGTTGTGACGATAAATTTCAAATTGAAAAATTGAATCCTATTGGACAAACGTCAGAAATAATTTTAAATATACCTTCAACATTAAAATCATATTCAATTTATGTTGATAGTACAAGACAATGTTTAATACCTGATAAAGTTAATCATTGTTTAGTTTCAATTGATAAGGATTCAATAGTTGAACAATATAAATTTACGTCTATTCAAGAACCATATTCAATGACATTTTTATCAACTGGAACATTATGTATTACAGATCATAATAAATCATGTGGCACTAATGGTGGAATATCAGTTATTAGTGAAATCAATTTAAAAAGCAATCAATGAAAATGTTTTGTATTAATATTTAAATCAAGAAAGTCTGACTGATGTTTCTTTCCTTTTCCTCCTTGTCTATCCTTTGTTTATAATTCCTTTTTATGGGAATAACGAGTGTCGTGTAATAAACTGTCCACTTTTGCATCTGATATTTATAGTCATCTAATATGCTTTATTTAAAACAAAAATACACAAATAAATTCGGCATAATTAGTCCTACAATCTGCATTCAAAATATTATATAACATAAGTAGCTGTATTTTTTCAAATTGAAGAAATTCTACTTGACCAATTTTCCACATTGCGAACAAAACCAATTATTGATATGCGATACGTAAGTAAAGTTAGCAGTAGATTGGAGTAATTTCGCCTGATATTCGCAACAAGCGTTGTACCAGAGCAAATATTAGTTGTACCGAGCAGTCCATCGAATATACTATACAACGTCATAGGTTCCATAAACTTTCATTACATGATTTGCCCGCAAAATAAAAAACATTGATTAAAAAACGCTCTTCTTACTGCGAATACCGGTATTTCCTCCGAATATTCGCTCCTGTACTTGTGTCACCTGCTCCACCTTGCGCAAGATCGGTGGGCATGGAAAAATCGGATCTCGTAAATGGTTGGCCCCAACGGGCGCTAAGCCTAAGGGATATGATGATGATGACTTGTGTCAATCGTGAAATCACTCGTGCCACATAGAACTCGATGGGATCTATCGATTGTTACCAAATAAGCAATGATCCGAGTCAAGGATCAAGTACCAGGAGTCAGCAACTGTTGCAACCAGGTCTGGAGCTTCGTGATCCGAGCAAATATTCGCTAAGATGGTTGTGCCATCCTTGAAATCCACTGTTCCAGATAGAACTCGATAGATCCCATCGGGGGTGTTGGTGTGTGGCTGTGACTATGGGTGTGGATATAGATGTGGATGTTGGCCTTCTTTTTACCTACACCCACACCCAAACCCCACCCTTCACAAACAAAATAGTACAACAAAGAAAAGAGCTTATACAACACAATTACTATAATATCACGAAAGAAAAAAGTTTTTGAGTGAAAAAAATAATATTTCACCGACAATAATTTATTCAGATATTCGTCCTAACACATTTTCAAGCACCAGTTGGATGACTTCCTCATCGTGTGCCTGTTGTAATTGTTGTTCGATAACCTGTTGTCGTTATTATAATTGTTGGTCAAAAACCTATTGTTATTGATTAACATATAAAGTAAAATAATGATGTTGGAACCATAATATGTACCAATAGCCCAAGTGTAAAGCATTCCAACGAGCAGAATTACGTTGTTGGCATTGTTGTTGCATCACGTTTGGATTAATATTCTAAAAAATGAATAGCATTAAATTGTGAAAGATAATTTAGAAAGCTTTAAAAAAGTTTATAAATGACGAGATCAGTTGACAAAACGGGTGCGGGGTGTGATTGTATGAACTTATCTGAAGCAGAAGTTGGTTAAGAAAATCTACATTCTTACCACCACCACCAGTGCAGAATCTGTCGTTAAAATGAGGCTCCTCACACTCTCGGCAAAATTTTCATGAAAATTTCACTCACTTCAAAATTCAATTAAACATTCTTTCGGAAAATTCTAAAATTTTCCTGAAAAGGAAAACTGATGAATTCCCCATAAAAATGTTTTTTTTTGTTCTCTATCTTTTGAAACATTTTACAATTACTTTACATTTTCCTTTCTCTTGTCACTAGATATAAGATTTAAATTTCTACAAAACTGTTGACTTTGCTTTTCGAATAGATGTTTCATGTCAGAGCAAATTTAGAGAAATTAACATCTACTTCATCATACAAGTATGAAAATGTAGAAAAACCGAAAAAAATTAAAAATAATTTTTAGAAACAGATCTGGTGAAATTTGAAAAAATCTACAATATTTTACACAAAATCTTGCGTCTTCTACTCTGACTTTGAAGGTGTCAAAACAAATATGTGTAAGAAAAAATTTCAAAATAGAGAATGTCGAAATACCGAAAAAAAATCTGCTATCAGACAAACTTAAGCTATTGATTTTGATTGAATTAAGGTAACTAAAATGTTTCAACTATCTAAGTGAATATATGCAACATTTATTCAGACTTCAATTGTGCATCCGACGATACGACAATCAACGTTTTATAGCACAAGTCTGACTTTTAATAAGATAGTATTTTCATAATATACATCAAGATACCTGTAAATATTAGTTTGCAATTTTTTTCTCCTGAACGAACCCTCACAATTAAGCTAAGGTCAGAAGCATGAAGAGTTAAAAGTTCTGTTTTTTTTTGTGCACAATATTTAGCTTTTAGCATCGATCGTAATCAACATAAACTCATACAAATCGTTTTTTTTTTCATACATCAAATAAAGGAAATTCGAGGTTTCATGATTTAATAGATTTCGATCTCCTAAAGGTTATTTCTGCATGAAAAATCTACCCGAAAAAAACAACTTTGCAATTTTGTTTATTAAGACTTATATATAAAAAAAAATATAGGTCTTCGACAGAGGGTGGGGGGAGGGAGGACGGTGCTTAAGAAAACAAACATAGTATTATTCTTTTATCACCGAATCTCCTTTTTTCCATTATTGTACATATCAATGAGAATATAAAAATAATTCCGCGGTTTTTGTTTATTTATTCTGCTTGTATGATAATTATTTTTGTTATGTACATTTTTTTAACTAGTACCATCACCATCAAAATAAAAGAAATAAACAAAATAGATGAGAAAAAAAAAGCGAAGTTATACAAGATATGCTGATTATATGAAAATAAAGTTCGAAATATGTGATTGTACAGAGAAAGTATACATATATATATATATTTCTCTTCTTAGTGTCAATGGAAAAAAAAGATTCCAAAATCATTTAATTCACTGGAAATCCAAGACGTTGAAGAGTCACGGGAATATGTTCGTGGGCTAAAATTATAGAAAAAAAGATGAGATTTAAAACAATAGACAAAAGATTTTTTTAAAATTTTTACGATCAGTCCAAAAAACTTGAACGTGTTCATTATTGTTATTTGCTATTTGATTTCCCCATGCAATTGTATTATATGCATAGTGAGGTTTCAATATAGTTTCAGCATGGTTCCAAAAGTACTCAGGAATATGAGTTAGATGTTGTTGATTGTAACCAAGCACAGGTGGACTCTATAAAAAAAAATCAAACAAAAATCATAAATGTAGAAAAATGACTTAAATTATAATTATATACAATATTTTCGCTAATTCCCAAATGTTGTGCGTGTGCTACTAATGTTGCTGGATCCAGTAATGTATTTCCGTATCGTAGTTTATATTCTTCAGGATTTTGTAGTTGAATACCGAGGTTTTGTACTGAACGTACAACATTAGCTTGCGCTTGTTCATAATCAATGATTGTATTGCGTGGTGGAGGATAAGGATGAGGTGGTGGAGCTCGCTGTGTTATTACTCTACGTCGTGGAATTTCTTTGGAATAAGGTAACCAACGTTCAATAACAACATCGCGAGGTCGTGGAGGCAATGGTGGAAAACGTTCGAAAATAACCGATCGAGGTGGAACAGGAATTGGAGGTAATCTTTTGATAATTGTTTGTGAAGGAATTAGAGGAGGACTTCGTGGTGGTCGTTCTCGAAGAACAAGTGGAGGAGGTATGGGATGTGGAGGTGCATGTTGTCGAACGACAAGTGGTGGTGGAGCTGGTGGCTAATTTCAAAATAAAACTATACAGAGAAAATTTTAAAAACATTACATTTTATACTTGTGGTGGACGAACTTCTTTGATAATCAGTGGCTATAAAATTAGGCAGAAGAATAATGAAATAAGAAAATTTTTAATTTGTTGTTTTTTGTTGTTTTAAATCAAACTTACTCCTGGTGGTGGAACTGGTGGCGGTTGAAGAAAGCGTACTGAAACATTTTGACGATATGTAATTGGACCTTGTGCTGGTGGTCGTCGTATAATTTGAGGTGGATTAGGATCATGAAAAATTTCTCCATGATAATTCGATATTGGTATTAATGCTCCTGTTGATGCATCAACTATAACATTGCTTGCGTTTTGACCAACTAATTGATATTGTTGATGAGCATGTGCTGGTGATAATGGGTGTGAAAATTGATTTGCTATGGCGTGATCGATTTCTTCAAATTTGAGATGATTTAAGTTTGACAAATCATGCAAATTAATATTGTTGATATTGAATAAATTTGATGTCAAATATTGTTCGCCACTAGCATTTGCAACTGTTGAAGACGATCCATATGATAAATTTGTGAATTCATCAGCTTGTTGTAAAAGAGATTGAATAGCATTACTATTGTTCAAGAACGTAGAACCCATAACAATGATGTTTTGATTTTTGTATTGAATAAAATACTCTTGATCAATAACGTAGATAGATTTTGTATGTGTGTCGCTTTGATATAATTTATGAAATAAGTATCGAACAGAACCTGACTAGGACTATATATATGATGTCATGTAACAATTACTAACACATTATGATCGATCAAAAGATCAGAACGCAGTCAACCGAATTAAAAAAATAGCATCAATTACCGCAGAATAAACCACCATTATCAACAAAAAACAAGAATAATCATAAAAAAGAAGATACTAATTAGCAAAAGATATTTCTTTTTAAGTATTCATAGTAAAAATTTTATTGCTCATTAGATCACCATAAACATCATGTTTTTCTACGTCAAATCTCAGATGAATCAAATCGTCAAATAAAAGTACTAATTAATTTTTATTACTATTGAATGACATCTAATATATTTAACTATTCATATTTTTTATATGATTATAGATTTTCATCTTAAAAAGCAATAGAATATAATACTATTGAATAAGATTACTAAACAATATTGTTCAAGTTAACAATAATAATATAGTATGTTTGATATGATATCTATTTCAAAAACTAATTAGAAACTCGTTTTACTAATTGCAAACTAATGACAATTAAAAAGACTAATAGAAGAAATAACAAGCAATTATTTAAAAATACCATCGAATAGCTAAAATATAAAAGCTCTATAGCACCTTGAACTTTAAAAAAACAAGAAAACATATTATTTTATAATAAAAACAATTCTAAAAAAAATAAGAAGTTTTTTTTTTTATATCGAGAAATATATATGATTTTTATTTATTGATAGAATAATATGTAATAAAAAAAAACCATTCTAAACTAAAAATCACACACCCACACACATGCTGCTTTCTGGTCGGTATACTGTTCCTAAAATATTAACCGAAATAATTTTGTTCATTTAATTTGAACAGAATGTTTTTAAGAAAGTCATATCATCTAAATAAATAATTATTAGAAATAATAATAATAATAATAATAAATCTTTCAATTGTTACCTTTATCTAAACCTAAACATGTACCCCATTCATCCGATGAAATTTTATTATCATTATCCGTATCGCAATGATCCAAAAATGGTTGAATACAATGTTCAAGTACTTTAAGTGATCGAACAAAACGAGCTAATTCTTCATTATTAACTGAACTTTAAACATAATTATAAAAATCATATAATTGATTTCAATTAAAGAAAATTCTATTTACTTATCATGTGTTTTATCAAGTTCACAAAATTCCCAAAGTACAGCATTACGCCACCATTTTTCTGTATTTGATAATTTCATTTTACGTGCTTCATTAACTAATACTTCATATTTAGCATCAAGATCTTTACGAACAAACTAAAAAACAAAAATACAAAAAGAATTTCAATTAAATATTCTATAAATCTTTTTTTTTTGTTTAAACAAACCAATGTATCAAGAATTTCTCCAAGCCATGTTGTCATTCGTTTTGGAAAGACTTCTAATTCGAATTCCGTACAAATACCAAGATCTAAACTCAAACAATCAAAACATAAATAAAAAATAATTTTTTTTTGTGTCTTTTTTTTTACTTTGGCATCGTCCAAAATAATCAATTGTATCTGTAAGAGCTTCTCGACGTGTACATCGTTCATCCTTTCGACGGCACCAACATTGCATTTGAAAGAATTCACAATCCGTTGTATATGTTTGATTAGATTTTGTGCATACCTAATAGAATATTATTGGTTAATTTTGTAAAATAAAACAGATTATTCTATTTTACCATTAAACGTTCATCTTTTGGATCTTCACATTGTGTTAAACAAGCACATTCAGCATCACCATCTTTATTTAACATACATGTTTCACCATCACGACATTTTGTACTTGCACATCGATCTATTGTTGAAAAAAAACAAAGGATTGATTGTATTTAAATGTAAAAAACAAAGAAAATGAATATAAACCTTCAAAATCATTTATAAGTTGGTCATTCGTAACTTTTGATGCTTCATTGGGTACATCTTTTACTTCAGATTGTGCCTAAATTAAATAAACAAATGACATTGATTAAGTCAAGGCGGCATTCTTGAGTTATCTTACTACCTTGACGTGTCAACTCAAGCATTATTCCACTGAAAATATATCTCTCACCACCTACATTATTATCAACACTTAACATGCGATCAGATAAATATATAGTCCATACCAAGTGCTGTCATGTTTTTACATTGAACAGAACATATCTTTACATGTTCTAATACAAGTATTGGCTGACATAATTGTAGTTCTTAACGCCTTTTTTTGTTGTTTCAAATGATGTAATAGATGTATTAAAGAGCGTATAGAAAATAATTTGTTTGAAAGCGTCTTGGGACTTATTATATAAGCAATAATCATCTCAAGAGAAAATTTTGTTTTGAATCTTATCGAAACATATGTATATACAATTCTGATATTTGTATGTTCTTACAACAGATGGTTAGACGACTTAGACATTTTCTTTAACTGATATATTTAGTTAGCATTTAAGCTAGGGAAAATAATCACTATATAGAGGTTGTTTACTATAGACATAATGATCAAACATTTTGTGTTCTAATAATGTCGCCTAGTAGGTAGAAATAGGTCTGACGTTTGATTAATTGTTGTTGTCTATCGAGGACAAAGATATTTATCGTACAGTCATTGTACATGGTAAAAGTAGATATCTTGTAATAACATATGTGTCTGGTTTAATTGATTTCATAACTATATATATAAATAGATGGAGACAACTAGATGTCTGGACTGAAGATGTATGTCAATAGGAATTTTCTATACAACTCGAAGTCTGTTGAGTTTCAATAGATATTTTTAGAATTGTACTTAATAAAAACGATAAAAATAAAAGGCTTTTTTCTTTTTCTATAATTAAACGAATAATATTTTTTTTTTGTAAATTTACTTACTGTAATAAGAAATAATTGATAACATGAAAAAATAGTAAATAAAAGCAAAACATTCAATTTTGATGCCATCTAGATATGTGCTGATGACTTAATAAATGATAATATGCAAGACTTGTACTGTGTGTATATATATATATATATTATTGTTCGAGAAGTAAGAATGATTAAGAATAGCAGGAAATGTTTCCCAAAGAATTCTTTCTTTCTTCTCTTTTTTTCTCATTATCAATAGGAAAAGAGGTATAGTGTACAGAAAAAGGAGAGATGAGGTTGATTGGTACTCTCCCATGAATAATATCTCTCTCTTCGTATGATTACGCGTACGTTATTTATTGGTAAACTATCCGTACATATGTGTGTAGGAAGTTAATATAGAATTAAAGCGTACGGACAGATAGACTAGTCAAATACTATATATATATATATATATATACATATACAAAACTGCTGTTCATCTGTTATAACCTATTATATATATTGAATAAGAATGAGAACAAACATATAACAACCAGTTTTCTTAATAATGAGAACTGATGTGTCTTAGCAACAGATGACGGATAGGAGACTTACGAAAGAATATATACACTAGCCTTGCACCGGAGGTCACGTTTATAGCTAACATGAACATTTTTACATAATAAACATCTTTATTTGCAGCAATACATCTGACCATCATATGTATATATATATATATATGTATGTAAAGGTATAAACTCTATATTTTTTTATTAAGATACAATTGAAAACGTATACTGCCTCGTTGTGCAATTTTATCATAAAAAATATTAGCAGCAAATATTCGACATTCAACAGATATTAATACATATGGTGTTATATTTTGAAATTGTACCCATACATATGGAGCTTGATAAACATTATTTCGATTTTTTTTACCACTAGATAAATTATATCAAAAAAAAAAACAAAAATATTAAATTAAAGAAAATAGAAACACAAATTATTCAATACTTATAAGGAAAATGTTTGATATCAATTGAACCACATACATCACTCGAACCTGATTCACTATAATATATAACATTGCCAAGCATTTCTTGATCAAATAAATACTATTTTGAATACATAGATTGTTGAATATAATTAGAAAAAGTTTCAAACAAACCTCGCCCATACATCGAACTGGAATATTAGGAATACCAATACATTCTGATTCATGCTTATTATCAACATCAGTTCTATTAACCTCTGGTATAAAACCGATAAGCTAAGAAATCTAAGATTGTTTATAACAAGAAAATAACAACAACAAACAAACAAACAAACTTTATTTATTTTTATTAAAATACATGGTTTACCATTTTTATAACCATAATGATTAATTGAATTACAATCACCTACATCATGAATAGTGAAATTTTTAGAGCTTTGTGTATTGTTATCTAATATGAATAGAATTTTTATAAACAATAAAGTTTAATCGTATGGTTTTTTTTTTGGAATCATTTATCACATACAAACTTTTAAATATTCATCAAGATTCTTTATATAAATTTCAGTTTTATCATTAGTTGATTCTTTTTGATTTTCTTTATCATTAGATGATAAACTTATTAATGTTTGTACATCATTTAGATGAAAACTAGTTTGTGGTCGAAAACTAAGTCCTGAATAAATAAAGAATCAAATGAAAAAATCATCTATTCTCCTTTAAGTAGTAAAACACCTGGTGAAAGTGGATTATTACGAGACGTTAATCGACTATCATTGCCTATATATCTTGGTTGATGTAATGGTAAAAGTGACATAAATATAGATAAATACAAACAAAAAAACCCACCAAGGACAACATAGAAACAAAAATAGAAAGCAGCTAGTTTGCCTAAGATAGATATAAATGACAAAATAGAAAATAAAATAGTATTTTTTTTTTGTATCATACTCCATCGTTTTCCATCACGTCCAAATATTTCATAATGTTCTTGATTATAAATAAAATTACCCAATGTATGAAGATGTTTATTGATTGTTGATCGAAAATCTTGATACCATTCACGAATCGAACGGCGCTGTTTAGATTTTGTTTTCAAATGCATTGAATTGAATTTGTTACACTTAATTAGATTTCATTTCAATGATAAAATAAAATTCTATTAATCATTTCTTAGGGTTTTTATATAAAGATATATGTATATCGACGTGTATAAACCGTTTAAGATTTTGACCATTGTCAAAGAGTCAAAATTATAATACAGACTCTCTGAGCAACAATCAAAACGTAGAGACGGCTTGATGAACGAACTAAATAATAAAACTAAAAAAAAAGGAGTGAACATCATTGTATTTATATATCATTCGGAATAAAAGGGAAAAAAAGAATCAAAAGAAGATAAAAAAAAAAAACTCATTTTTTCATTTGCTAGCTGATGGCAACAACTGACGCACAGATTTTAACACTCAATTGATGCCGAAGAAAAAGGAATATGTGATTTTTTTTGTAAAGAAGGAGGAGCATGGTTATTGTTAACGGTAATACATGGTCACAGATGGACATATTCAATTGATATAAGAAAAAGAAAAGAGACAAAGTGTGTGCACCGCTGATGCAGAGAATGATGATAATGATTATTGAAAGTCATTTGATTATGCATACTTTTCAATTGTCATTGACCTAGAACATCTCAGTACTATATGAAAAAAAAAACATTTATTGGAAACAAATAATAGAAATGTCCTTTAATTTTAATGAATTTATTCGCTTTAGCTTTGAATTGTAATTCGTAATGGTAAGATTATTTTTCTTGACATTGTCTATATCATTGCTTAATTTGTTGTCTTACTAATGCATGAAGGACAGTAACTATATCTAGCAATGATATCTCTAACATGACGATGAAATAATAAACAAAAAAGAGAAAAACAAGCAAATTGTTAATCTGTATTGAAGCATAGACATTATTTATCAAACAATAAGTAAATTTTCCATTAGGAAAACTTGACAGCAATAGCAACAAAGAGTATTATGCATAATTATATGATTGATTTAACCTTCATAATGTTGTACGGACATACCACATGATAGACATTTGTCTCTTGAACGTTCATTAGTAGTCTGTTGACGCAGTTGTTTTTATAGGCAGTCGACAAGGTTGATACGGTGGCTTCCTATACATGTATACAGAGAATAAATAGGCCCATCATTTATCCTGTGATACTAGCTGATAGAATTATAAAGATAAATGAAACTGTATATGTCATATTTTATCTCATTTTGTTACACAATTAAGTTAATAGAAAAATTTTCAATTGATGAACTGTTAGTTCTGACACATTGATTTAGTATTGATGACATATTGAAAAAAAAAAGTAAATGTGATTGTAACAATCAATTTTACTAATTCAAAACAGTGACATTTAACAAAAAAGAAAAGAAAAAGCTTTCTTTTAAGAGTTTTCATCATCACTATTATTAAAAACAATCTTTTTTGCTTGTGATTTTTGAATGCAATATTGTGATTTAGCTTGTCGACTTGCTTCCCATGATGGATGAAGAGAAGTACTATTCGAATTTTGTTCTTTTGATTTATGATTATTTGTTAATCCTATTTAGAAAAGAAAAATGGAAATGTATTAATTTTTAAAAACTAAAAATTAATATACCATTGAATTTTTCATTTGATGATGATGATGATGATGATATTTTACTTGATGGACGTGGTCGATTTGGTAGAGATAAGTGTGCCCATTTTTTTCTTGCAAGATCTCCACGACCATCACGTCGATTAGATGATGATGAAAGTGCATCAACAAAATAAGAATGTTCAATAAAACTTTTATCATCAAGATCAGTTTCATTCTTATTTCTACTTGTTCTTTTTTGATATGTTATTTGATGTTGACTGTTTAAAAAAAATGGATCATTAACAGTTGTTGTTGTTGTTGTTATTGATGATGATGATGGAGAAAGGTTTGATTCGATTTCTATTTTTTCTGATTTTTCACTTTGTTTTTCTTCATTTTCATCATTTTCATCGTCTTCATCAATTGTATGATTTCCAAATGGTTCAGCAGTTTTATTTTCAAGATCAAGTACACAAACAACAGCTTGTTTTGAACGTTTTATAGAAGATTTTTTTTTCTCTTTTTTCTTTTTAATTTCTAATGGTTTAGGTAAATTTTGTTCAATTTCTTCTAATTCTTTTTGTTGATCAACAAGAGCTTGTTCAATTTTTTTAAAATCTTCTGATTTTTCTTTCCATACTAAACGTTTTTCATAACGTGAACGATACATTATAAGTAATTGTTGCCATGATTTTGCATAATCATCATTTGTTTTTAAAGATATTATATCTGATTGAAGAGATTTTTCTGTTGCTAAACGTATTAATGCATGTTGTTTGATATCATCACTATTTGGCTATAGAACAAAATATAAATTATATTTATTTATGAATAAATTAGAAAGAAAATTTAAGATGCATGTCATCGTTGAACTAAAAATCGAATCAATTCGATATGCTTATAAATCTTTCTCATACAAGAATGTAGGACAGAACAAGGTCAAATTTCATCTTCATTAGAAATCGAAAATAGATTGCAAAAGGCCATACACCAACTGATATTCAGAGTTTTCATCTATAGATGTAAATTTGAATGAAAATGACCATCAAATTAACGTAAAAAATTAACTTATAAATTCTGTATCATTGGATTCTGATGATGACACTTATTTACTGTCTGCCGCTGAACTTAATGATGCATCGAATACATCTCCACCTGATCTTGTTGATGGCTCAACTTTAACTTGTTTTTAAATTCTGATACTTCTGAACAATTAAAGCAATTCTTATTGGAAAAATACTAAGAAGGTTTCGAACAATGATCTTATATGACTGAGAAATTAGCTTGACATACAATGAATGCTCTACTCATTTAGCACAGTCATGGGGAGATCAAACACCATCAGATCGTATCATTTTCAATTGATTTCATCAATTTCAACATGGCAATTTCGCTGTTGAAGATGATGCCCGTTCAGGTCGTCCTCCTGTGCTGTTAACAAAGAAACGATTGATGCTGCCAGAACAATCATTGACATTGATCGTCCTCAACAAACGAACAGATAGAATGCATCCTGGGTATTAACTCACCATCATATGAAGTTACGCTAAGTTTGAGCTCAATGAATATCTCATCGACTGACTGATAATCAAAAACAGTTGTGTATTCAATTTTGTTGTCAGTCACTAAAGAGGTTTGGAGAAGGCCATTTTCGTCGTGTATTCGACATTATTACTAGTGATGAGTCATGATTCTATCATTATGATTCGGATACAAAAGACCAGTCAAAAACTTGGGTGTCAGAAAGTGATCTGGACCTAACCAAGGTTTGTCGAAACAAAAGTGCAGGCAAAACAAATGAAGGTTATTTTCTTCATGAAGTTTGGTTTAATCAAGTCTATATCATTAGAATCCGATGAGATAATAAATGCAAGTTGGTACATCAACAGCTGTCTATCATAAGCCTTCAAAATTGTATCAGAATGGAGACAAAGGACAGATCTTCGAGGTCGCATGGAACTTGGATTACTAACGAATTTTTGGCTGAAAATCATGTGAGATCATACCTAAATCTGCCTTATTCTTCAGATCTAAACCCATGTTACTTCTTCTTGTTTCCAAAATTAAAAAATCAGCTACATGGGATTCAATTTGACGACAACAACACCATGTTGCATGTATTAAAACAAATGATTGACAGTTTCACAAAAAGATGATTTCAAAAACTGCTTCTTTATTGGTTTATTCAAATGCACAAATGCATTGATATCGAGAAGCAGAACTTTCAAAAACAAAATAAACAAAAACCAACTATTAAATATTTATCTAAAGGGCTGGCGAAAAAACTTTTCTAGTGCGACATATACAATCAAGATAGTGTATCGGTTTTGCAGGGTACTCTGTCCCGTTCGATCGAATGAAGCAGAACAGGGTATGAAAATATCACATTGTGACAATCTCTGATTTAGAATAAAGAGTTTTGCCAATTAAATTTTTCTTTTCTCAAAATCGTATTTGAAAAAAAGATCGACGAGCACTGTATTAAACCATGTTTATTTTTACCTTAAATTTTTGTAGAATTTCAGCAATGTTTCCTTCATTTTCCATTGCAAATAAGATAACATCTTTTACAGGTAATTTCTAAACAACGAACAAAAACAAAGAATTAGTTTGAAATTAAATTAAATCAAAATCTAATACTCGAATATGATGAATTTCTTCAATAATTCTTTTAACTTTTCGTGTTGTACGTTCACCAGTTGGATTTCTAATTACAAACAATACTAAATTAAATATTGTTTTTTTCTAATTAAAACTATTTACTTTTTTCGTTCATATTCAATTTGTCGAGTTAATTTTCTAATTGACCGAACTTTACTTCGTTTTACTGATTTTCCTAATTCAATAATCTTTGATATAAAAAATAGACAAATTCATTTTGATCTTTTCAAATATATCTTTTCATACCTTATTATTAAATGAACTTAAACTCATCTGAAACAAAAAAAAAGAGAGACGTAATGACATGTTTTTCTATTTATATTTTAATGAAAAACAACATAACAAAAAAAAAACAAATTTTATTTCTTTCGCGGTATAATTTTTGGTTTTTTCTTTTCATTTATTTTTTTCTTTTCATCGTCCGACCAAAATTCATCATCGTCCTCTTGTTTAGGATTCTAAAATAAAATTTTATTATTTAATTAAAAAAAAAAAACTAGAAGAATTTTTTTTTGTTTACTTTAAGTAAAAGTTTATCTTCCATAGCTAATTCAACTTGTTGTAATTTCTTTTCACGTTCAATTCGTTTTTGTAATTCTAAATATTTTTTCTTTCGCATTTTTTGAAGTTTCTAAAATATAAATTAAATTTTAAATTAAAAAAAAAAGAACAAAATGATTTAATCGAGAAGACAATACATTTATTTGTTGTTCATCGAATTTAAATTTTGTTGATTTTAATTGTTCAATTGTTAATCGATTTGATCGACGATTAATCAATGATGGATGTGTTCGCATTTGTCTAACTGGATCAAATTTTTCAACTATATTAATATATATTAAATAAAAGGAAAACAAGAAAGTTTTTGTTTTTTTTTAATTAGAATCAACAAACCTTGTTTTTGTGAATCAACAAAAAATATATGTGATTTAGATGGATGATATTCAGAATCTATTAAATGTGATGATGTTTGTAATTTATCAATTTTTTTTCTTTCCATTTGATGTTTATATTTTATATATTTTAAATCTTGTGTTTGCATTAATTTTAATTGATCATCACTATATTCTTTATATTTTTTCTTTAAACCGTGAACACCATTCTATATCATAGAAAATATTATATCAAACAATGTAATAAGTAAATACTTCATTGAAAAGAAAAGACTAGTATGAATTTATGAAAATTTTTTAAAAGTTAATCGTAGGAAAACATATGTTTGGAGAAATCTTTTCATAAAAAAAATATTTTTTTATGGCATCCATTTAACTGCTGAGTAATTTTCAATAAAAGCTAAATAAAAAATTCAATTTTCGTCAAGTAATCTATTGAGAATGATTCTAAGTAAATAAAACATTCTTGCTAAGTTTTTTATTTAAACTCTAAATGAATAAGTTTGATTTTCTAAGTAAAGTATTTGAAATCGATAGGTAAATAAACAGTTTTTGCTAAGTAAAGAGACATAAATATCTGAGTAAAAAAATTTAAGTGTACAGTTATTGTATTAACAAAACTCTTGTAGCTTTGTCGTGATCGTCCTCTTTCTCGTTTTTCAACCAATGATATATTCTTTGCTGATGGAGGTGGTTTGCAAAGCTTCAACTTAATATCCATGACAATAATATTTTTGCAAATGTATTCTTTTAAAGCAGCTGGAAGAATAGCACTCTGGTTTTTCTACTGCAATGAGGCTTGGGAATAGGGAAGTTTTTGAAAAGAAGACCAAAACTAACATAAGCAACATCAAAAGCCTATACTCACGCATATCCTTATGCACACGAATCAATTGGAATGAATTCTTAGCATCTTTAATTTTGATTCGGTGCTTTCTATTAGTTTCCAGGGAAACTCTTTTTTTTAACTTTACTGAGAAATGGGACATAATGGGCATAATGGAAAATGAAATCACTTTCTTGTAAATCAAACGAGTTTTCAGGACATTGAAAACCTCACCTTCAGTGAGAGAGATGCCCTCTATTTCTAGAAAAAAAACAATTCTCGTAAAGTCGTCCGGTTTCTGAAAAGTCATTTGACGTCCAGAAACTAATATGGTCTCCAGAAAACTAATAGGAAGCATCATATTTTAATTTTAACGGAGAGTTTTATTGATTTCAAAGTATGTGACGATATGAGTTCCAAACGTTAGTGAGAGGAGAAAAAAATACAGAGTTTCGTCCGAAGAAAACTAAAACTCACTGGTACAATAGTACTATAAATCCGACAAAACTCGTACGTTATCAATATAGGGTGAATATGAGTTGAAAGAGTAAAAAAGAAACGAAACTTCCAATTGTTCATAAAGATTTTTGTGAAATTGCTTATATATGCATTAGAAAACGGGAAAACATTAGAAAAATAGACTATTCTACTTGTGTAGTATATTACTATAATATTACTCTATCTGAATAAGTAGACACACAGAAATAGAAACAATCATAATTCATTAAATGTTTTTTTTCTGCTTTTTGTTCCTTTTTTCGGATGACTGTGCATGTGAGAAAGGTATCTTTTGGTTTTTTTAAATTTTTGGCAATTCTTCCATGATTTTGATCATTTTTCGCGAGTCAGTTTCACTTTTTCGTTTCTTAGCGTAAATGAATACATTGGCTGCAATGGTGCCCAGACAGCGGGCTTGTGAGAAATCGCTTGACCCCGCACTATCGAAAACGCTTGATTTTTCCCAGTGAAATATGGTCATCTTCCTGTGTTCTGTAGAAAACGACTTATTTGTATTGGGTAGATTGTATGATCCTCTGCTTTTCAGTCAGTGAAGTGCTCCTATTTGTTGCTATCTCATTCCATCATATCAGATTTCTTCCTAGTATCATCAAATCGTTGTCAATATTGATCCATGTCAAGCAAACACACTTGTGATCGGAGAAATATCGCGTTTCACATCACCTAGTATTACGATCGTATAAATCTATGATTGTATGCGCAGAAATACGATCCTTTATGGACAAACAAAGCTCATCTGCGGCTTTCGTTTTACTGTATTTTGTCGTATAATAACATCATACTATCAGAAGCTATCTTGTCGAAGAAATCCTATCGAATCTGATAGGATTCTAGGATAGATCTAGCCACTCTGGAAACTTCTTCTCATTTTGACCTATGCGTTACGCTACGAATTAGCTATTCATTGTTAAATTCGTATCACAAGCTTCCCTGGAGATGAGAAAAATGGTCAAGAAAAGTGAGCCGATATCATCATTTTACATGTCGATCTTAACCAGAAAAACTCGCCAAGATTGTGAGAGAATAATGAATTCACATTGGAAATATAATTGGGTGATTTTGCCTCCACTAGAGAGCTATAAAAATTGGATCCCAATTAGGTATATATAACATTGCTGAAGTTGATCACTAAAATCATATAATTTAGCCTCCTGAGCTATACACCTCGACTGATCGACACATCAATTTGTATTATGTGATCTTTTCGTATGATATGGTAACATTAATCTATATATTCATGAATATTGTCGCCAACCAACGAAAAGAGAAAAAGAGGATGTTTCTGAAAAAAGAGGGTAAAAATAGGAATTTTCAAAGAAAAGAGGAAAAGAAGAAAAAAGAGGCGGAGAGGGATGCTAGGTGACAAAAACAATCGATCGAAGCACATAATATGACATACAAATCGTCGAACAATTGTTTATTCAAAATTTCTATTGATTTATTCAAGCAATTTCAAATTTTGATAATGAATCAATCATTATTTTTTCAAAATATAAACTTTTTTCAAAGAAAAAATTCAATTCAACGAGTTCTATGATGAATATTTAAAACAATAAAAGTTTTCAAGGAAGAATAAATCAACTAATATAATTCATTCTAATTCCGATCTGCAATCTATAACAAGCATGATTTTTAATCTTGCTATTTCATTATGTATAAATATTTGATTAATGAATAGGGGTGGCACTTTCCTTTCCTTTCCTAAAAGAAAGGAAAGCGTTTACTTTCCTTTCCT